AACCTGAGGTATTTAAGAATTATCTTTGTTAGGAAGAGAAGGTGGATTATTGTTACTAACATTATTAGTACTATTACTATTTGCAACTTGATCTGCATTATTATGATTGCTATTTTAAGCTTTTCTTTTTTTATTTTATTTTTAGGAAACAGCATCGTTATTATTCGCCACTTGAGGCTAATGAAAACCAACAACTTTTTTTTTGTTTGTTAATTCATATGCATTTTCTATCTCCATAATATTTGATATTGATGGATCGTTATATATAAAAACATCACAAAGCAGATCAAAATTTTCTAAAATGCTCAAAATTTCTGAAGATTACTAAGTTTGTTAGCGCTTAACTTTAGCATGGTAATCTAATTCTTCAATTTCTAGCTTCATTTTTTCAATTTATATTGTAGCCTTTTCTATTTGTTACTGAATTTAATTGTGTTCCTGTAAAGCATCTTTAATATCCATTTTATAGCATTCATAATTTCCCTTTCTTTTATTTAAAAATTCTTTTTTTTGTTCTTCGTCTGCAGCTATAAATTTATTCATTACACTGCATTAATTTTTCATGCTACTTTCTTATTTTTCATATTGTTCTAGCTTTTCACTTAAATCATTTAGTTATGTATCATAATTCTTAAGTAGCAGTTAATTATTTTGTATTTCTCTTTACAAAACAACTTTCGTCGCTTACATTTCCTTTATTTTAAACTCTAAAGTTTCATTTTATGTTTCTTCATGAAATTATTTTTTTTATTGATCTTCCAACTGCTCTTTAAGATCTTCAATTCTGGATTAAATAAGTTTTTAGTTTTCTTCGTTGTCTTTAAGGATAAAATTGCTTGTTGCTCTACAACCTAAAATGCTATGCTAATTTAAAGTAGTCACAAATTTATTACTATAATAAGAGCTGTTAAATAAAATATTGCTATTATTTGCATGTACGGAGACGTTAAATATCTAGCTTTATCCATAATTATCACCATTCAGCTTTTTTTATTACTGCATCAAACTTTCTTTTAATTAAACAATTTATAACTCTTTCTTCTTGTTTTAAAACTTCAAACTATCTATCATCTCTATAAATTTTTGCTCTTTTTAAGAAAATTGTTAATCATATTCTTCTAATCTTACAGATTCCTCATATTACTTTTTTAAAACTTAATTGGTGCTTGCTATTACATCAAATCCAGATTTTATAGGTCCTTTTTTCAGAACTAAGTTTTGCTTTTTTAGCTATTCATCTACTTGATTGTTAAATTTTTACTGGTTTTTATGAACAACTGAATCTTTTGCTGCTTATTTCTTACCAATTTTTAATAAGTTGTCAACATCTTTCCTTTGTTCTAAGTTATCCTTTTAATCATATGATAACATATTTTTTTCAATCATCTTTTTCTTTAGATCATTTTTTAAATCTACTATTTAATTTGAATCTTCATCACTATCATTTTAGTCACTTTCAAACTGCACTTTCTAGCTATTCTGCACTTTATTATCAAATATAAGCTTCTCTTATATTTTCATCCCTTTAATAAACCTATAATATCAAAATTCTATATTATTTATGCATTTGTATTATGTCATTTTGCTCAATTGTTTTAAAATAATAAATTAACAGTTCATTATAAAAAAACGTTCACTAAAATTGTGTTTAAATGTTTTATAAAATTAATTACTAATCCTCCTCTTAATCTTCTTCGTCGTTTTCTTCAGATAGAGATCCATCCATATAGTTTTCCAGAACATAATCCTTTTAAAATCTTGCTTGTTTATTTTATAATGTTAGTGTCTTATCCCTACTCATCAAAACCTATTATAATAGTATCCAATAATTAGCTTTATTTAACTCTAAAAATTATAATTTTTACAGCTTGTCCTTTTTGAGAATAATCAATAAATATTACAGAGTAATTAGATTTATGATGTGAATAGATTAAATTTGTGGGAAACGAATAGTTAAATAGATATTACTTTGCAAATTTAATATTTTTTTTTATTTATGATTTCTATCTAAACAATCTCTAATTGAATGGTTTTTATTTGATTATGATGGTAATCAAAGTGATAATAACATTTATGAAATATCAAATTAAATATTTTCATCGAATTTATTATTGTTTAAGAATAAAGATAGCCATTCTTTACTACAACTATTAATCATTATTAATTATAATTTTGGGTTTTTTACAAGATCAAACATTATTAAGTATTTGAATAAATAGCTTAAATCTAAAAATAAAAAGAGAAACACATTTTTATTTCATCTGTATTAAATTAAATCAATCAACCATTCAAACATTTATCATTAAATATAAAAAATACATCTAATATTTATTTTTCTTTCATCTTCAAAAACCAATTAAGTTTGTTTCGTTCAAATTTAAACACATTCAAATAATTTTGAATGAAAAATTATTTAGAAGATAAATTCAAAAGATTATTTTTGTTTTAATTATTTAAATGAAAGAATGAATATTACATTTAAAAATGATAAAGAATAAATTAGATATGTTTTCAAATTTTATGATTCAAAAAGTGACATTTGTAATTTTTTTTTTTTAATTGCTAATAATAAAAATGATTAAAAATAAACTGTATAGGAGCTTTGAAAAGTATCATAGTATATAAATATATTTATATAATGGAGTTACATACACTAATTAATTATAAAAATAATAAATTATTTGCTTTATATAATGCTTTGATATATATAATAATTACTATAGATAGAGTTCTCTCTTTTTAAAATGAATGTTTTTTCTATAAGAACATCACGATTATTCTTATCAGTAAACTTATATTTAGTTTTCAGATGATTATGAGTATTTAAATATTCAAAAAAACATTTATTTATATTGCTTTTTTACAAATCTTTTAAGATATAAAATTTTCTTTAATTTTGCCTTTTTATTTCAAATTTTATTCCTAGAACTTACTGAATAAAAACTTTTTGTTTTTATTCAAACCAAAGAATAGAAATCAAAAAGAATAGAAGATCATATTTGATTTTACTGAATAACTCTTCTTGAGATAATATTTTATTGTGATATTTCATTTATTTATTGCTAGTCTTTGTGATCTTCTACTCTTATTTATGTGTTTTAGTTTGTGCTTGCGATTCTATTTCTTGGATAGCTTATTCTATAGTCGTTATCACCAGACATAATGTGCTAATCTATGAAATTCACTCTGACGATTGATGTTTAGTTTTAATTTTAATTATTTGTCTAGTACCTTATTTGCACTGGTTCGTTACTGTAAGATATTACTTAGTGGTTTTATCTCACGTTTTGGTTTGAATGATTCGAAGAAGTGGAATGGGAATGATCTGAAAAGAAGTTAAAGTTTGTGCGGTTTGAACTTCTCATTAATTGTCTGTTGTTTGAAGTTTCTTATTACGAAGGAGTGATATTACTATTACTAGCTTATTAATGAATTGAAATATTTGAATGAGGAGAACTAATAATTTGCTCTGCTATTGATTATTGAGTTTATTCATTTTATGTTTAAAAATCTGTTTAGTCGCTTTGTATTTAAAGCTATTCATAAAATTGCTCTTCTCCTTCATCATCTTCTACGTCTTCTTAAGCATCATCAGAATTAATATCTAATCCAAAACTTTGCTAATTATATTAAATCAAATTTGCAAAAGTAAGTTGCTGATCCCCATTTGTGTTTGATGTTAGGGTCTAGAAATTACGAAGAGCATAAATTCTAAAAGATTCATCATGTACATTTAAATGATCAATATACTTAGAACTTTAATGGTAGTATTAATCAATTTATTTATCAGCTGCAATCTAATACATTTCTTTAACTATTTATTTCAAACTATCATATTAACTAGCATTTGGATTTCCTTGGCAGGCTTTATTTAGTAGGCGCTTTACTTCATTCAAAAAGCTTATTTCTTGATCCACACTCTCTGCAGCAACAATTTTAAATATACATTTTTTAAGTAAGGCTTTCAGATCTCTTCTACAATTCTCTAAATCTATTCTTTCGCTGTACTACTCCATAATGGTTGAAGCACCTATAAGTTTCAAAATATTTTATTATTAACTCATAAATAAAAAAGAGGTAAGATGGCCAAATAACAGCATATTCAAACATCTAACAAAAAAAATTTTTGTTTTATCAATATTTTTATAGCAAGTTTTTGTAAATACTAAAATATTTTGAGCTATTAACCATTTTGAAGTGTATTTCAGTAGGTGATCAAATGATAAAAAGAAGAAGAATAAAAGAATAAAAATGATCAAAAAATACATCTTCTGTTAGTTGGCCTAATATTTTTCTTCTTTTAAGAGCTATCAGATCTTTTAGTCTAATTAAATTTGAATCCCATTTTCTCTAATTTTCTTAGATTTTTATTGATTTATTTATAATTATGTTTGTATATATGTAGAGTGTGCAAATTTTTGATTTTTAGAAAGTTTGCAAAATTATAAAAAATTTAAAGTATTTTTTTATTAATTTTTGTTTTGATCACTTTATAGCTTTCATTTAAATATTACTTTTGTTTTATTTGATCGATATTTCAATTAAATTCAATATAATTAAATTGAGGTGGATAGATTTCTGATTGAATGTTTATTAATTCTCTCTAGTTCATAAAATTGACTCAAGATATGCTTTATAAATGACACTTCCACTATACTGGTTATTTGGGTCAAATCTCATAAAAAATCTTCTAACCAAAAGCAGAATTGAATAAATTAAAAACAAAATAAATTCATTTATTACTGAAATAATTAATAGTCATTTTAATTTAACAGATAATTTATTTGAATTGTATGTATGAATACATTTTATAAAACACTTATCAAACTGTTCGGTATTAAAAACTAAAAATAGCAAAAAAATCTTATAAATAAATCTTTATTCATATAATCCTTATATAGCATTAATAATAGTTAATAAAGAAATACTCAATATATGCAAAGAATTTTCTGATGAAATTAAAAATATATTTAATTATTATTATATCATATTTAAATGTTTGTTTAAACTAAATAATTGAAAATCCTTTTAATAAAGGCGTAAAATGTGATAGTCAACATATAAAATAAGTCGAAAATAAAAAAAGACATTACTGATGTTATTATAAATTATTCATGCAGATAATAATTATTTTTAAAACGAATTTAATTTTAATTAAGCTAATATTAATTTCGAAGAAAACGAAATGCTCATTCTTCTACTACTTCATATTTCTTTTCAGAGTCTTTTTTAACTATTTTCTTCCTATTTGTTTAACGTCTCTTTTTTCTCTATGAGTTTGGTTTATCTATATTTTCACCTTCTATGTTAAACACATTTTCATATGATACTCCATTATCACTCTCACTTTAATTATCTTCATAGGAATCTACAATTTTACCCTCTTTTTCATCTTCACCGTCTATACTAAAGAAATTCTAATTTACACTGGTTTCCAAATGCCCATTTTTTTTAGGATCTTAGATCCCCTATAAATTACTTATGTCGATTTGGTTATCTCCCTTCGCTGATGTTGGATTATATTCTAAATTCAATGCTTCTTTATTCTAAGCACTAATATTAACATTTTTATCCTTTTTTGAAGTAGAGTTATTACGCTTATTTGCAGATTCTTAAGTTTCAGATATTATTTAAGGATCTTCTGCCTTTTAAATAGATCTTTTTTTGATAAAGAAATATCCGGCAGCAGCTGCAGTAAGAATAACAAGAAATACTAGTATAAGAATAAACATCTAATTACTTGACTCAGAATTACTATCTGGTGATATATCCCCTATCACTTAACCTTCAACTTATTTGGACTCAGTTGAAAATAGTTTATAGAGATTTTAATATTTTAGTTAGTTTTGCATGCACTATGGCATATTCAGTAACCTACTAATATTTTAGTAAAGTGTATTAATTTCATTTAATTCGGCTATTTGATCAGATATTAAGTGGCAACTATGAGAAAATTTCAAAGAATTTGGACAGAGCTAATTTAAAGATAATATTTTTTGCAATACTTGTTCAATATATGCCTTTATGTTCTTAGTTATACCACCTTTTGATTAGGAAACTTACTAATTAGTAAAAATGTTACAGCTAAAAGTTTCATCAGATGAACATTTTTTTGAAAGTGGGCATGAGGAAATTACTATACTTTCTCCATTTGTAACACAAGTACCATTTTTATCAACTAAGAAGCTACTGCATTTAATTTCAACTCTATTGCTATTTCCTTCTACTTTTTCTCCATCACTTAAACTACCATATTTCACACATTTATTGTTATAGCAAAAACTTTTGTTATCGCAATCAGACGTGTTTTAACATTATTCACCCTCTTATTTTACCTTCTAGCATTTTTTATTCACGCAAGAAAGATTACTATCACAAAATAGTTGTGAATCATCATCACAATCTTCTAATAAGGATTTTCCCTTGCATATTTTGCCTTCACATTTGGAAGAAATGCAATCTGAATTTTATTCGCAAGATTATCCATTATAACTTTTAAAAGAAACAGGGGAGCTTGAGCATTTATCGTAACTATCAATACCTTCTTAATTAATGTCTCCATTATCCTTTATGATTGAATTTAACTGCAATTGACAGTTTTAACAGCTATGAGGAAACATTTTAATTTCTTTATTAATGTTTTCGTAGTCAAAACAAGCACCATCATTTCCTTCGTTTTCGTTGACGCATGAAATAATCTAGCAATTCTAAACATTTGCTATTAATACTGCTATCACTACTATAAAAATAAGACCTTTAATGCTACTTGAATTTTTCATAATTGAAAATTATTAATAATGTGTTAGTTTATCTAATACTTCAAATAAAACTTTTATCCTTTGTCTAATCTTTGAGCTTTTCTTTTTTATTAAAATTAATGATGATAGTAATAAAAATAACAATTGATAAATTATTTACTAATTAATTTAAAATCATTAATATTTGAAAGCAAAAATAATTAATGACGGTCTTTTAAAAATTTAACACATTCAGATAAGTATATGATAATATTTTTTTTATTTTTAATCAAACACTAAATTTTCTTTAACAGTCATTTATTTATTTATTTCGTTTGATATAACTCTGATCAAATAATTTATTTTTTTTAAATAAATGGAAACTATTTATTTTTCTATGATAACAATTTTATTATAATTTTATACTATTTTTTTTAATAAATTGTTTAAATTTTAAAAATTATTTTTTTAGCAAAATATAATTTTTTTTTTTCTTTTATGATTTGTAAATATTAATTATTTAAATATTTGGAAATTATTATGTTTTTTAGGTATAAATTTAAGATTTGTGAAATATTTTTACTTAATATCATTATCAAAGACCTCAAAATATATCTTCTTTATATTTTGGAAATAATAAAACTGTTTTTTTAATTTTAAAACTAATCTTATTCAATTTTTGCCAGAATTATAATATATAGGAAGTTATACTAGCTATTTAAACCATTCAATACACTAGATATGGTAATAATTTATGATAAATGATCAATATAAGAATGAATTTTAATTATTATAGTGAAAATATTAAAACTTCATACTGAGATAACAATAGCTTTTATGTAATATTTTTTTTATTTTATCTGAGCTTATTTTGTGTTTAATAAGATGAATATCTTGATTAAATTATAAAATTCTATTATTTTTTTTATTTAAAACAATAACTTTTTGAATATTATCTAATATTCATTAATGAAATCAAGTATTTGTAGAAAATACCTAACTTGAAATTAAAAAATAATAAACTTTATTAAAAGAAAAATGTAAAAATTTAAAATATATATGAATGCAATAAGCATAGCTGATATTTAAAAGCTGACTTTTGATTATTAATAAAACTTTATAGTTTTAAAAAAAAGATTAGTGTACTGTATTAATTTAAAGATAAAAAGCTAACTAATATCTTTGTAAAATATAGTAAATGAGTAAATACCAAACAGAATCAACAAAAGTTAGAAAGGATGAAGTAGAGGGTCATTAAACTTCATTCTAATAAGATAAATAATACTCATATTCTAGAGCTTCTTAACAAGGATCTAAAATATTAGACAACGTTAACTAAGTTTTAAATAACAACAATAATAAATTAGGAGATAAAAATATATTAGATATGATAGATAACTCATTCCAAGATAATTAAAAATAGGAAGCCAATCAAAATTAAGAAGCTGGTTAAATTAATAATAAAGAAAAAAGAGAAAATGTAGCAGAATAAACCAATTTGTAGCAAGAGAGCAATTTATAATTGTAATAATAACTTGAAAAAAATAATGAAACTGAATAAGAATAAGATTAAAAATTAAAAGCCTCAGAGCGTTTGTTCTAGTTTTTCAAAAAGGGTCCTGATACTGTAAACTAGTCATCTAAAAATAGTGCTACATTATTGATGAAATCTTTATCTTTAAAAAGCAAAGGCGATTTAGGGAAGATTGAATAGAAAAAAGATCTGAAAAATTCAGCTTTTGAATAGGAATAGATTATTGATGAAGACGAATTTGCTAATTTGGATGAATAACAAGATTTTAATTAAGATGATAAGCAAAAAAATAACTAAAAGAAGAAGTAAGAAGTAGGAGGAAAAGTAAATAATCCTTAAGATTTTGGCAACATATCTGAAATCTAGGAAAAGAAGAACCTACGTGAAAACAACGATGTAAGTGCTTAAGATGTAGATTTGTAAGACCTCTTGAATAATCCTAATAAAAAGAAACAGGATGAGGAGCTATTAAAATAAAGCGCTATCTTAGAATAAATCAATACTAATTAGAATTCTACTGATTAAGTGAATGTAGATGAGGGAAAGAGAAAATAAAGCATTGAAAAAAATAATTTATCTTAAAATAGTATGAGAAATTCAAAGAGACTTGGTAGCTCTTCATTAAGTCCATAGAATAACTAGTTTGAATCAGAAGAGAAGAGAAAGAGAATTGAAGAAGCCTAGCGCAAAAAGAGAGAATTAGAAGAGGAATTAAAGATAATTTAAAGTGAAATAGCTTAAATAAATAATGCCAATGATGAAAAAAAGAAAAAAGAAAACAAATTTGTAAAATACTCTGAAATTTCAGAAGACAAGGAAGCACAGGAACATGCTTTAAGTTTAATAAGAAAAATGAATATGGTACGTAAGGAAAAAGAGCTTAAAATGTAAAAGGAGAGGGACATGTTTAATAAGCTGTTGCAAGAAGATATTAAAGAATCTCACGAAAGATAGCTGCGAATTAAAGAAAAGATGAATGAAGAAAAAAAAGAAAAAATTTCATAAAAGCTCGAGCAAATTAGAATACGTAGTGAAGAAAGAAGAATAATAAATAAACAATCAAATTTAATTATAAAGGATATCAAAAAAGATTTATAGGTTAATAACCCTGATGAGCGCTATAAGTAGGAAGTCGAGCTTCCAGAACTTGAAAAAAGGAAAAAAGAATTAGCTGAAAAGCGCAAGCTTTATAAGCCTATAGATCTTTAAGAAATAAGGGAGCATGCAAAAAAACACGATGAAGAAATTAAGATTCGTAAATTGTAGGCCAAGACTAATGTATTAGCTGAGTATAATAGTTTAGAAGGAGATAATTACAAATATCCTAAAACATCTGCTTTAAATAAAGTGCTTGAAGATGATAAGCTCTTTAAAATGAAAGAAGTTATTGAAATGTAAAAGAAAAAGGAATAAATCGAACGTAGAAAGGAGTATGCAAAGTTAGTAAAAGAAGTTCATGTGCCAAGAGTCAAGCCAAAACCTAATTTAGATAGCATGGAAAATTAACATCTTTACGATGATGAAAGCCAAAATAATTACAATCCTTAATAATAGTCATAGGCTAAGAGCCATAACATCATAAGAACACCAAATAATTTTGGAATTAATTAATAATCACATAGAGCTAAGAAAGTTGGAATTGGTTTTTCTTCAAATTCAAATTTATCCCCTTCAAATCAATAAAGTAGAGTCAATAGAATTTCTTATAAACCAAACAAAAATGGCAATGTAAACAGAAGCTAAGGCAGAGAGCGATCATAGGAATAGACTAATTTCAGTAAATAGGACTAATAATTAGAATTGTATAACAGGACTGACGATTTATCTAACCAAAAAAGTAGTCTCTATAATCCTGCTTTTGATGATAATATGGAAAATAATGATAACAATAATAATAGAGCTTCTAACCTATATGCTGGCAAATCATCTTACTCTTCAAATTCAGCCTAAAATAAGCCAGTAAAATAGCCAAAATAATTCAAACCTTAAGCAATGGAAGAACCACCAAAACCACCACAAAAAAAATATTAAGTAGATTATATCCAAGAATTACGTAAATAGCGTGAAGTATAAGAAAAGAAAGTTGGGAAAAAGTCTAAACTAGAAGACTGGGAAAAGTATAAATACGATCCTTCTCTCTCAAGTAATGAAAAATATAAATTTATTCTACAAAGTGCTAATCGCTTAGAGCACAATGCAAAGCTTAAAGAACTACGCAGCAATAACAATAACGACTTTGATGCATAAGAATAAGCAAATAATCTCTACATAGACTCAATAAAAGCAAAGCTAGCTCTTCTCGATAATATTAATTGAAAACATAATTATTTGCATTTCTATTCAATCAATTTATATCATTTATTTTGATCAATTTTATTAATATAAATATTTCTTAATCATTAAAAAATGATAGATTTTTTTAAAAATTATTTTCGAAAATTAATAACTTATTTTGTTTTATTTTTTTCAATGAAAAATTAAAAATAATTAAGAATATATTAAATCAAAATTTTTAAACCATTAAGATGAACGCATTTATAAAGTAGGAAGTAAACAAATTTTTATGTAAGTAGTAAATGAAAAACGATTATTAGATTTAATCTATTAATTAGCTTTTTATAATAGAAAATAAATATAATTAAAAATAAATAATAATATTTATCTTTTTTTAAGCTTTGTTTAGATTATTTAAATGTAACGATTGATTAATAGAATTTATGTATATATGAATGAATGAGGAGGTTTTAACAAAAATTTTGTGAAAATCATCAAACCTTTTCTAATTCAAGGATTTCACTTTCTCTCTTGATTTTTTGTAATTCTTATTCATAGAAATCAACAAGTTCAGCCCATTTAGCTTTGTTGACTTCAAATGGAGATAAATCTAAGAGAGGTAAAAATTTTTGTACAGATTCATAGAGAGGTTTTACGATAAAATCTATAAATCCAGCTTGGCTTTTACTTGTATTTGTTGTGAATCTGTCACATAAGTAAGTTATAGGTAATCCACTTTGTCTTTCTAAATCACCCTTTATTTAATAAAGTTTAAATATTTTTCTTCTTTTTGACTTAAAAAAATACCTAATTCCAGAACTCATCTAAAACCTTAAATGTCCATTATCTACATATTTCCCAAGGTTTATATGGGTTTGAAACATCTGCTGAATGCAAAAGTGACATCATACAAATATCTTTATCTTTATCTTTTGGATCAAAATCTTTTTTATTTATGTAAATAATAAAATAATTAGGCATTATTCTTTCCAAAAGAAAATATTTATAAATACCTTATGAAGTGAGTCTTCCTTTGAGTTTTGCAAGATCTGCAAAATGCTAAGAGTTATCAGTATGAAGAATCATACTAATAATTCTTTCTCTTGATTTTTTGAATTCATCTTTTGTTAAGTGTACAAAAATGTTGCAATTCTCCTCTTACATCAACAAGAAAGTTGAAAATGCATGATGATTTTCTAATGGTGATTTATCATTATAACGTATAGCTAACTCATTTCTTGTGTTAATCAAGTATGGATTATTAAAACCAGGGTGTTGATAGTCATGAGCAGCTGCTGCAATATACATTAAGCCTATTTCTAATCCAGAAAGATCAGCAATACCAATAAAATTTAGTGATTACATAAAATAGTGCATAGTCTAATAAAAATATATAAAAATTGAATATATATTTTATATGATCACGTTAATTGAAATGAAAAATTAAAATTAATTTTTTAATACCTATGTTACATCAAAAGCATGCATTTTATTATGGTAAAAGTTATCTTAATACCTAGATATAATTAAATAGATAAGTTATTTAAGATATCAATTTATATATTAGTTAGTTAGTTACCCATTTGAAACTAATACAGCCCAATTAAATAAATGTTGAGGCTCTATTTTTGCTTTGAAAAATACATCATATCTATTAAAAAGATGTATCAATAAGTTTGCTAGGTTATTGTCTTATATTTTTTGATGATATGTAAATACATCAAAGCCAATATCATCTATATTTTTGAAATATTCAACATGCTTTTATTTTTTTTAAATATAATTTGATTATCATTTTATCAAAGTTTGAGTAAAGTATATATACCTCTTAAGGGACAATTATGGGTTTAAAATTGAAAGCCATAGGAGTGTTTGGATCCGCTATACTTGCTGTATTCCCTAGAGATAAAGCATTGTTCTTAATTGCAGTTCCTTTCTTCTTAGCTTTTCCTTAATTACCATTGGTTGCATATATATTTCCCCAAATTGCAGCTTCTCCATCACCTAGGATAGGTTCATATAATTTATTGCTATTAACCATTTCCTAGCACCTAGTAAAAATAGTAAACCTAAGAAAAAAATTTAATTTTGAATAAAGAAATTTTACCATTTTAGCTGCTTTACCATCTCAGGATCTTCAATATAGTTTTTAAGCATTTCGAAAATATCCATTATTCTTTCAACAGGAGTTTTAATAGAACCTTCTAAATTTAGAGATTAGATAGATTAAATTTCATTTACCTTTAGTTTAATTAATTATATTTTATAGTGTATCAATTAGATTATTTAAAAAAATGGTTGTTTACCCTTCTAAATACTAGGAAAAGACGAACAAATCTAAAAATACTCCTAGCTATTCTTGTAATTGTAGAAAATGTATAGTCTAAAATGATAATATCAAGAATAGTTAAAACTAGTGATAAAAATATGAATACTGCATCCCAGATATTGAATTTATCTTTAAAATAGGTCTATTTAAAATATTAGTAATAAATAAATTTATTTAATGTATAAATCTTTATTAGAATTAAATTACACTGGCAGACAAAGCATATATTTTTAAGAAAATTTCTATGCAAAATATAATAAGGATAGATAATTCTATGAACTAAATAATGCTAAGAGCGAGCTAGACTTCTTTAATTGAATCATATTATTTTGAATCAAGACCAAAGTAAACAAAAATAATCAAAGTATAGAAAATGACCATCAGAATAATAAAATAGTCAAATATTTTGCTATTGACAAGATGAAAAATCTCTTTCTTTAAGTTTATTTTTCTTCTATAAAAAAATAAAAATAATTTAAATATTTATATAAACATTTAAAGTAGATTTAAATTTAATATTTTTTTTATTTCGCTAAGGTTGAACTTTTAAGTTTTTATTTATTATCTTTTTAGCCTAACTTACTTTTCAAAAAAATGAATTAAAATCAGCGAGTGAGCGAGTGATTACTTACTTGCAGCTTATAAAAAATTATATCAAAAAACTAAGAAATTGTATATTATTTAGCTGGGTAATGAAGTGAAATAACTATCGTTTTTTTTATATTTATTTACAAATACATTCTCTATTTATTCAAGTTAATTGTATAGATAGCTAATGCGAGTAATTGTAGTTTTAAATCAATTAAATCATTTTTGTAGAGTCTTTTAAAATTAAAAGCAAAAATTAAATTAATTTGCAATAACTCGCTTGATCGATATTTTACTTTTTGTTTATTTGTTTGTGTGTTTTATTTAACAGATTAAAACTATTTACTTCTAAAGTATTTGATTTGGATCTAAATAGTTAGATAAACGTTTTGCTGTCCCTTTTTTCTCTAATGAATGAATGCTCTTTGATTCTCTCCTTTGGCTCTAAATCATTATTTATTTCTTATCCTATTTTAAATAAAAAAAATCAATTTCTCCTTAGATATGACTTAATCTTAGCAAGCATGAGCATATAATTGAAACTAGATATCAGCTTAAAAATGCTGATTGTTATTTTTAAAATTATTTACATCTGGAGCAGCATTTTTGTCTTAAGAAATAGCTTGACTTGAGTTTAATCTCATTTTTTCTTAATCAAGTATGTTTGGTTTGTCATCATCAAGCCTAGCACCTTGATTGCTATTATTATCTGCATTGGCGTTATTTTTATTCACATTTCCTGCTGTATCAGCATCTACTTAAGAATTCCTCTCATCATCACTCATTTTTATAGTTCTATTATTAGAATTAGACGATTCTTCTATTAAATATGCTTGGAATTCGACTTTTGACCCTAATCTATTTTACGACTATTACTTTTTTGTTGGCTTTTTATTGTTCAAGCTTAATACTACTTTGTAGTTAAATTTGCCAATATTTAATATTTTTTTTAAAGAACTTTTTTTTACTAATTATTGAGTTTTTTTTTTTAGAGTTAAGAGTTGCTTGGTCGACTAAATAACTAACTAATTCAAGCAAATACGTTTAATTTTTAATGCTTTGTGTATTTTAATTACTATTTGCATTAAAATTCATTTATTTGAGAGTTAGAACTTTAAAATTGGAAAAATTTAATTTAGTTCATTGATATACTAAAATAAGCATATAATACTATTATCTCTTATTTATCAGTCAGTAAATCTATGTCTTCTTATTAAGTTACGTTTATTTTAATATTTATTTATAAAGGTAAAAAAAATTTATTTTTAGCTTTTATTGAATGTCAAATCAAATTTTATTTTTTAAACATTTTTACGATTTCTCTTTCGATTATGTTTAATATTATTTAATAAAAATAAAATTTCTTTTTATTTTTATTCTAAGCAAAATATTAAAAATAAATAAACCTAAATCTTAAAGGAAACCAATCAGTTTCTTTAGATTTATGATTATCTTTTTTTTTTAACATTTAATGTTAAAACAGTTTTTTCTTTATTATACAATAGAATAATCTTACACAGTATTTTTATTATAAACTTTTTATTTATTTTTTTGTTAGTAAAAATTTATTAAAATTTGAATTATGAAAGCTTTGGCTTAATATTATCGAAACAAGTAAAGTAAATTAAAATAAATTTGTAATTAATTTAAATAAATATTTCCCTTAAAATGTTCATAAAACTAAAATATTCAATTAACTATCTATAATAAATTTGCAACTGCATACAAATTAATTTTTTATTTTGTAAAAATTGCATTTTAGTAAACATGAATTGAATACATTTATTTTGATAAATTAATATGGATTTTTAATTTTAATTATAAAATTAATGAAATGTTATATTATTTTTTAGTTAATATATTTCATTAATTCATTTTAGGTAGTAAGTCATCTTTGGTTTATATGCTATTTCTTCTTTTAAATCAATAGTAACTAAATTTAGAAGCCACTAGGTTTGAGCAGGAACTTCTATATGAATGCATTCAGGGTCGTTGACAGCACTCTTGATATCGAGATTGTGAATTTCCAACTCTAAATCTTCCACATATGTCTTAGATGAAGTCTTATTAATGTATAAGAAACAAACTCCTCCGTAATAAACAAAAGTGTGTACAAATATCTTCATTTAGTGTCCATGCATTTCTCTTTATTTAACTTTAGAGGGAGATAGTAAAGCAAGCTGCATTAATTTACTTTCATCATCAGGATCTACATGCTGCAATAATATATAATTTACAGATGTTTGGTAAGAATATTCCCCTCTACCACGAGCATCAACTCTATATTTTATAACCTACCTATCACCTGGGGCTACATTCACTTTAACTTAATCAGAGAATGATTTAGGTGAACATATTTCTAGATATTAATAATTTTTCATAGTCAGTTCTTCACGAAGATGAACATCCTATGATGCATTCTCATAAAGAAAATATACATAACCACAGACTGAACCACATGTACGATAAATTTAATCGTTATATCTATGAATTCTGTCTTATTCTTCGCATTCTTAATGAGATTCAATTAAGTCATCAACTAAATTTTCGTATATTATAGCGCTGTCGCCGAATTATTTATTGGTTTTTGGTGTTGTAGAAGTTAATGCATTTTATGCAGATTTAATTTCTAAAAATTCTACAGGATTTTCTCCATAGCACCAAACAACAAATTCACGGACATCATCTTAAGTCCAGTCACATTCTACATAAACAAGATAAGTTCCTGGCTCTAATGCTTCTTGAGTTTCAAAAGAAATATCCCTTTCGCATTCAAAAGCAGATCCAACGAAATTCTCTACTTACCCTGACTTATCATGACCATCACTATCTAAGCTTGATACAATAATTCTCATTAAAGAGTAATTGTAATTTTTAAACTTTGGATTTTTAGCAAAATTTCTCTTGTCTCTTTAAGAAACACCAATAAAACACTTAGTCCTTGAAAAAACTTTCATAGTAAAGACTCTCACTGTAACTTTTTCTTAGACAGGTGCTTTACTACTCCTTATACTGCTATATTTATAATTATTTTCAACCTTTGAGACCATTATCTGAGAGAACTTGCTTTAGAAATCATTAATACTCATCCAAAAAATACCATCATCACTTTCTTAAACTTTTAATTCCTAAGCTAAACGCTGAGTCCATTTGTAAGAATTATCACTCCAATCTCCTTTCCATTCAAACTATCCCCATGGATTACGGATCTATATGATTCTATCTTTTTATCCTTCACTATCTGTAACTTCTCTTGCATCCAATATACTATAACTATGATTGCTAATAATACCTAAATAGTCTTAGTTTTGCTCAAGATGTCTTGTATTTTATTCAGAACTTGCTGTAACGATATAATTTCTATTGATTAGGTTCTAAATAAGGAAATCCCATATATCATTCTCATCAAAATCTATATCGTTGTCTCTATAATTTAATTTAAATAATTTCAAAATTCAAAATATGTTTGTAAAGAAGTGTCAATAACAAATTAATGAATGAATGCAAATTTTAATCGTTATAAAATGAAAAATAAAAAATATTATGTTGTATATTTGCTTTTAAAAATACGAACTTTACCTAACAAAATATTCATATGGAGCACCAGTTAAATCGTGAATTGCATGTCCTGCCAAACCAGATTCAATCTTGTTATAAACAAAAATGTTAATATGATGAGATAGAAGGAGATCTTCATAGATCCTAAAAATAAATATTATATTTTGCATTCCTTTTTAAATTTCTTACATTTTATTTTTAAAATTTTAAATTTATAAATCTTATTATTATGTAAATATATATATAATTGATATATTTATTTTCGCCCTCAGTAAATGCTAAATGAAAAAATTTATGTTTTCTTACTTTATCATAAGCTCCAAAAAGCTTGGCATAAGCTTTTTCTAAAAGCAAAGCCCAAAGCTCGTTGTCATGAGATCTTGAAAAAGCAGGCCCTCCATCATTAAAGCAAGGGAAGAAATCATCTAATACAACTTAAGTCCATTCACCATCGTGACACAGCCAAACACAATAACACCCATGCTAGTTTACTTCTTTGGTTTCAAAAAGCCTCTCGATCAGGCCAGGTCTTTCGGCTAAGCAACAGAGAGCTGACATAAAATAGCAATCTCCCAAGTCACCTTAAAGGACATCATTAGGCTCAATTCCTTTTTAAAATACATGGTATTGTAGAGGCTTCCCTTTTTCTGGAATCATAAATTACTGAGGGCGCTTCCATGTCAATTTTTATGCTCTTTCAAAGGTATTTATATCCTTTGTTAGGGAAGATAGCTAAGCAGGGAAGTTAGGATCTTAATAATAAAGTTGTCCCTCTCCTTAGCTTAGCTAATCAAGAATAGATTAATACTATGACTAAGAGCTCCTATTATTGCCAACAACAAAATCAGTTACTACTCTTTTATTTGCTGTCATGCACTTTAATTCATTCAATTCATGAGATTGGAGATGGATTTTTGAAACTTCGAATTGCTTATGTCTCTTATAACCACCTTTTACTGGAGAATTGTTTGATATTTGCTATCCATTTTTACCATTATTATTTTTTTTTGAAGATGATCCATTTGGACCTTGTTAGTTGTTTTTTTCAATATCATTAATATCTTTCTTTTTTGATGATCCTCCACCCATTTATTTATAATTTCAAATGCTTGTTTTAATTAGAATACTTGGTTTTATGACTAAATCTATAAATGACTCCTTTGTTTCAATAATAAAAACCTATTTATTTAAGTATGGCTTGTATGTGTAGTGATTAACTGTTGATAATAACTACCTTATTTGTTATCCCTTTAATTTATTTATTTTCTGTTGAAACTTTTTATCAATTTTATTAGATTATTAAATTATGATTTGCTTTTAATTTGTATTGAAAGATTAACACAAAAATACCAAACAATTCTATTAAGGCAAATTCATTATTTCGTAAAAATTTTCTTTTTCCATTAATCTCATATTTTTTTAAATGATTATTTCACCATTAAGAAATTGATTTTTATTTTTTTAAACAAAAATGAGTGGCTGTTTGAATTATTATTTTTTGCTTGGCAAGCGAAGCTTAATAGTTATTATATGACTTCTTTTATATATTTTTACTTTTTTAATTTGAGTAATTAATTTATTTATATAAATTGTTATTATCATGCCCTCAATTGATTTATGTGTAAATACTTCCATATCGTTTTAACTTAATGCATATTTAATAAATTTGCTACTTTTTTAACTGTATTATCAAAACTGCTTAGTTTAACAAATTTATAACAGCCATTAATTACAGATTATATCTTGGATGAAAATTAAAATTTGATAATATTTTAATTTATTCTTACTCAAATTTTATTTCATTATAATTTATATTCTTATTTATTATCAAAATTGGCATTAGTTTATTCAATTTATAAATTTGTTTATATTTTTATCTTTATTTAAACGATTAAATTGTTACATATAAAATTCTAATAATAAATTATTTTAAATATTTAAATTTTGTATTCTTTAATTTTGGGATTTTTAAATAATAATTTATTGAAAAAGTTAAAAAAACTAATTTTTATGTATTTACTAAAGATTAATACACAGTGAATAAAGCCAAATTTTATAATCTTTCAGCTTATGCCTGATCAATTTATTTTTTAAATAGTCTTTTGGTAATATGTTTTTTATTATAAAATATTTTTTTTTTAATGAAATTTTAGATTAATTCTGGAATTAAAATATTAATTTAAAAATTTATTTGAATTTATTCAAAAATAAATACAAAATTTATATTATGATGATTAAGTATATTAATTGATATGCTAAATTTATAAATATTTGATTTTATGATAATATTTAACATATAAAAAATTTCTTATTACTTAAAATGAGAAAAAATAATTTTAAAGTATATGAATTACATTTAAAGATGCAAAATTAATGATCGTAAATAGTTATTGATACTTGATTAAGAAATAAATAGCAATTATAAAGTAAAATTAACAAATAAATATATGTTCATAGTAATTTTTATTGCTAATAAAATTAGTCACTTAAAAATTACTTTAACTTAGTTATTTTTATAAATATTTAAACTAAACATATCTTATTTTAGAAGAATATTTAGTCTCTATTTAAGGAATTTATGTGTTCTGATTATAAATTAGTTGATTAATTAATTGAAATATGATGTATTTATCCATTTTTTATATACAGGTTTTATTACACTATTTAATAATACTATAGTAAAATTTAAATTTCTTTCTTATTATTTTATTCAAAAATTTATATTTTTGAAATATCTATGAAAAAAAAACCTCAATTTGAGGGTATTTCACTACCTTCAGACTCACTTTAATATCCTCCTTCCTCTTCATTTTATATTTTAAGCAAAGATTAAGAAATACTAGGATTGTGTTGACTCTTTTTTACTATTTTTTTCTTGATTCCTGAAGGAGTAGCAATATTGTAGCTTGAAGGATCATTATTATTAGTGTCGCTTTAATACTCAGTGAAATTCATAGCAGATTAACTATTATCATCGGAATCATCATCCTCGCCATAGTTAGATCTAAATGTACTTGTGTTATCTATTTGAGAGGCAGACACTAAAAATTATTTTTATTTGTAACCTGAGGGTTTTTTCTTATATTTTTTCTTTTCTCTACGCTTTAGATTATCTTTTCTTATTTAATTTGCTAATGGTGGTGTCAGTTTAATTAGTTTAAAAATATTTTTAGTTTTGTGAGGAATTGAAGTAGAAGCAGAAGAAATTCTTATTATTTCATTAAACTTATTTTATTTTTTTTCAGGTTATTCAATTTACTACTCGATTTCCATTTAATTACAATTTTCATCATCTCTTTTCAGAGTGAAATGTTAAGGATTTTTTATTTTTGATTATTCTATTGTTTAAAATTATTTTTCTGAAGTGCTGATATTTGACTGTTCCTCTTATTAGATATTGTATTAATAATCACATGAAAAAGAATACTCTTTAAAAATGTTAATTTGTTCTGGGACTTAAGAAGAGGTAGCCTCGTTCTTTATTTAAGGTAAAAAAAAGCTAAGCTCTTAATTTTCTTCTTTTACATTAATTTGTTAAGGATTGATATCATACTTCATCTTTTATTCATTTAGTATAAGTGATTTTTAAATTGGATATTCTTCTAACAATCCATGATGCTTTAAGTATTCTTTTCTGAGGTTGATGCTACCTAGCTCCAAAAATTTTATTAAATTTATATTATATCTATCACTCAGTAACAGCTTCCAGCGTCTTAACACCTGGTTATCAGTTTTATTTTCAAGTTCTCTACTTATTTTTGCCCATTAACCTTGATACTTGACACCTAACTAAAGTAAAGTAATATCTTCTTGTTAGCTCCACGAAGTAAATTTCATTTTTGGATCTAAGAGATTGCACCACCTTTCACGTATCTAAACTTCAGTTCTATTTGTAAAATGATTAGCTATCAAACACCAAGTTTTGTTTTCAATTTTTTCTTTGCAAGAAGTGTAAAATTCATAGAGGACAGCCAATTTTATATCTTCTCTTAAACTCCAGCGACCTTTTTCAATTCTAGGATTCAAGAATTTTACCCATCTTTACACAATATCGGTGTGTTCTTTTCCATTTAATAGAGTAGAAACTTAACCCCATCTTTTTTCACCAAATATTTATACAGCTTTGATGAGCTTATCATCATCTTATCTTGTCCATTCAGAAGGCTATATTTCAATTTAGGATAAAAAATTGCTTATTTATTTGCTGTCACTAAAATTTCCAACCATATATTCTTTGATAAGCTAAGAGGAGTTTTCTTTTCTACCCTTTTTTCTAGTTCCTTCTTCAAACACTTCTACTGCAGTGTTACTCTAAGACTGAGAATTCTTTTTACAGCTTTTTTTGCTTTTTATTGTATGAACAGGAGACTGAGTCATACTAGAATTGGATGCACATTCAGCACTGCTAGAAGGATATTATTAATTAAGAATTGAAACAACAAATTATTCTCCAAGCTGAATAAAAAGTTATTTAAAAATAGAAAAGATATCTAATGCTTCGACGTATCCAACCGTAGAAGTTGCTCCATATTTGTTGATTATGAGATTAGCAAATTTAGCAAATTCTATCCAATCTATGTAGTGATATATTTAGCTTGGTGCTGATAGTATTTATTTAAATACTTCCTCATTACTCTACTGGATTTGCTTCTTTACAGCGCTTGTGTTTTACTGGTTTTGCTTATTATTAGATAGTTCAATCTATTCATCCAAAAAGTTAAAAATCAAAAGTATAAGAAATTCTTTTTTAGCACTATCAGTAAACTCTTAAAAGAGGCAAGTAGAATTTTCAGAGATTTCAAGCTTTTTTAAGCCATCAATATTAGAATTACTCATTTCCTCCTTTATATCTAAATATTAGCTTTATTAGTTTAAACTCTTAGGAGCTGATTTATACTACTTTGTGAATTTACTTTTCAGTAGTGGTAACTTGTCAAAAAACTTTTGCAGTTTTTCTTCCTTGATAGGTTCAATGACTTTATCGCTGTCCAAGGAATAATATGAGTTCATATGATGATGGTGATTTTACTTAAGCATTTTATTGTTCTTTTTAGACATCAACTCAAATGCCTAAATGCAATCTAATCTTTAATAGCTCTCAAATTAGTAAAAAGAAATTCCTTGAATCTTATGGCCATAAAGATTTTATCCATAAGTGGCCAAAAATCCATATTTACTAACTTTTGCCTTCTGTTACATTTCGTTTTTCTTTTAATGAAGCTCTTTTAATTTTTCAATATTAGATTTGTGCTTTTCATTTATTTTTTACAAAGTTAATCTCAGTTTCTAACCATACTATTCATTTTTTTGAAGTAGAGTTTTTAATCCTTCCAACTAAATTTCAATTTCCATTAACACTCTATCATCATTTTATGTTATCGCTAATGAGTTAGGAATGTTGATTCTTTTATAGTTATCGGACTATCTGCTAAATTTAGTATCTTCATTTAATTCTTTGCAATTTCTTCTACTGCCATTCTCAATAAAGTAAGACATTTATTTATTTATTTATTTATTTATTTATTTATTTATTTAATTCACTAATCAAATATTTTGTAAGATTTGATCAAATATTGAATGCTATTATTAATATACCTCTTTGTTTTGTTATTGTAGTTTCTTTGCAAAACAGTAGAGAATATATTTAGATAATATTTAATTTGTTTAATAATTTGTATTATTTATTATTACTCTTTTCTTTATTTATAGCAAAAGACTATATCTTAGATTATGAGTTTGCTTTCCTTCTGACTTAAAAAATTAAATGCAAATATGAATCTCTTCTATTCGATATTCCCCTTGTTTTCAACCTATCTTTTTCCTTTTAAGATATCTCAAAGTGTCTCTCAATTTTGTATGGGTGTATTTTGTCTCGTTATAAATAATATTGAAATTCAAAAAGAGCTACTTCTTCCTATTCAATATATTTTTCTTATTCAAAATCTTTCTTTTTCTACTCTAATTAATTCAAAATAAAACTATTTTAATCACAAAAAAGTATTTCTAATTTTTTAAGAATGTAACTCTAAATTAATACATCGCTTAGCTCATAATTTTATTTAAAACGGCCTTTTATTAAAAAAAATAAATATATAATTTAATAACAAAATACGTCTAGAATATTTATTTAAATCAAAAAAAATAAATTATGAAATTAAGTCTAAAAATATTTATTAAAACTGAAAACAATACTTTTAAAAAGTTAGCTCAATCTTAAATTATTTCTTTTAATTTTAATTTAAAAATATAATTTGAATTTATGTTATGTGTATACTTCCATTTTTTCAATTAAATAAAATTATTTGGCAACAATAAAATAAATAACAAAATAAAGTATTATTTTCATTCTAAAATTAAATGAGATATTTAGAAATAAATCTAAATTTATTAATTTAAAATATTTCCATAAAGTTTTAAAAAACACAATAAATTTATCAGTATTTTTGCTGTTTTAAATTTTTAAATAAAAATTAATTTTGGCAGTTTGATGATAAAATAATTCAATTAAACAATATTAGTGAATTAATTAAAATATTCCTATAAAAAATACTAACTAAATTATTTTAAAGAGCAACTCTATTGCTTTTTAAATAAATATGACTTACATTTTAATATTTTTAATATTACATAACTTATTTTATTTTATTATTTTATTGAAATTTTTATAAATACAAACAAAATAACAAGAGATATATTAACATTTTTTTTATTATAAAGTAAGTTAACTTGTTTAACATTTTTTAACATTGAAATTATTTTTATTTTGAAAATTTTAGTTTTTTTAAATAAAATTTAAATTAAATTTATTCATTCTAGAGCTATTCCAAAATTATTCAACAAGTTTTTAGGAGTTATAACTTCCATACTTCTGTTTTTTTCTCTGAAGGTAATAATTTTTTCGTTTTCAGCTTCACTATAATCTAAAGCCACTATGTAATCAATTTCGTCCTATAAGTCAAATACAACTTAATTTCCACTAAATTAAATTAGATCAACTAAATATCTTAAGTCTATATCTGAATTCAATTTATCATTTGCATTATAAAAGCAATAAGTTTATCCTTACGGAAAACATTCTTTGAAAAGTTGGTTTTTCATGGAAATAATATCTTTAACAGCCTCTTCAAACTCTTCATTCTCCTAGAATTCTTCTTCTATTTAATCAATTTTCATAGATTTTAAAATATCCAATAACTCATCTTCATCAACATCTTTGTAATAAGAATCTCCATATTAATCATAAAGCAATTTATTTCTCTCAAGCAATTAATCTTAACCATATATAATGTAGCGGGGAGAGTAATCTAATAAAGTTTTTTTTTTGATACAGTCTTTTACCCATTATAAGGATAGAACATTTACTTTATAGTGATCACCAATTACTTAAACTTTAAAATCATAATGTGAAGCTATGTAATGAGTTACAAGATTGCTATCATTTTATACTTTTTTACCACCATTAGCAACTATACCTTTTTCAATCTAGGCTTTCTCTAACAATATCTTTTCCTCACTCAAGGATACTTCATGAGGTAAATTAATTATATTAAATACAAAGTTATTAAATATATTTGATTCTACTTTGACATCAGAAACATCAATATCAAGATATTGAGCCATAACTTTATTGGTCTTCCAGTTTGGCTTTCTACCTTGTCTATTTACTTCTATCTCTTCTCCATTTTACCCTTTTCTTTTTTTCTTTAATTTTCCTCCATTTTCGTCCTACTCTTCATCGCTTGCATTATCTTCTTTGTCACTCTCTTTTTATTCTTTTTTCTTTAAATTTTAAGTCATTTCTATAATTTCATTAAATTTCATGCAATCAAACCAATCTTTATCTCTTCTAAATTTTTCAAATCTCGGAAATCTAAAATTTAATTTAGGATATTACAAAACTTCATTTAAATTGTATTTTAAAAATAGATAAATACCTTAAGGTGTAGTTGGTCGGATATTAAGAAGATTATATAATTTCAGTTGCCCTAATCTCTAAAATAAGAGAGTTTTGAGGAGATAAAATATATGCATCTGGCTTATCCTTAAATTTTATTTTTTTAAAAAGTCATTATTTTTCTAAATAACTTACTTTTTCTCCAGGTTTCCAGTTTTATATGATGAAAGAAGGCGTTTTATTTGAATGATTAGTTCTTACCCATTGATCTCTCATTCTAGCTTTTATATCAGCATAGTCTCTAGCTGTAAAACCTGCTCCCACTTTAGCAAAAGGCACAAGTATAGAGTTAGAGGGGTTTTGTAGATCAATCTTTTTCGCTACAGCAACAAGATAATGTGTGATATGATCTGTCCAATCTCCTATGCCATTAATTTTATAAGACTTTTCACCAAAATATCCTCCAATAACTATCAAATCTAAGGTATCTATTATTCCTTCATAGTAGTCACCTTTCATTTTAATCCACTTATCAGATCTATCATCTGGGTAATACAGAGTATCGAGCTGCTTTATGACTATACCTTCATCGTTTCTATGTATTGCCTCATTAAATTCAGTCAGTATGTCATTTATATCTGAGTATTCTCTACCAAAAATAACTTCAACTCTGTCTTATTGATTGTCAATTAAATTTTCTAAAATTTTTTTTCTATATTGCAATGTGTATTCTGTCAGTGCATATTCTTTATTATCTTTAGTCTTCAAATATAAAATGTCAAAAATTTTATAACATATACATAATTCATCATCCTCTCTTTCCATTGCAACAGTTTTATTAAGACCAAATTAAACTCTTTATCCTGTTATTTTATTTACTACAACCATTTCTCCATCTAAAATACAACTATGAACAGCATCTTTTAAACTTCTTCTAACATGCTCTATCATTCTTTCATAAATATTTGTATAATTGTTTGAGTTTCTAGTGAAAAACCTATTTTTATTATTAAGTTAAACCAAAAAAAATATAAAAAAAATTTTTTTACATTAAAGATTCAGGAGATACATGACACTAAATTCTCTCCCCATCAAATTTTGTTTCAACTAAATAGTTTTTACCTGTATAAAAAAAAGTAAAAAGGATGTTAAATGTTTCAAATTAATTAATATTTTACTTACCTTTAAGAATAGCTTCAATACTTTTGAGAGTCTTACGTCCTGCAAGCATAGGTTTTATAGGATGAAATAGCCTAAGGACATTAGATAATTTATGATTTGGATCTACAAATTCCTTGCAAACCTCCCAAAGACTAGAAGTAGAATTAAATAATACTACTGCATCAGGATGAAAAAGTGCAAGTATTATTTCGTGATTAATACCAAGATTAAGGTCCTTTAAGATCAAACTTTTATAGATTTTTATTTAATATTAATTAAAATAAATTAAATTACCGTGAAATCCATTTTATTTCTTCTGATGTTGCATTCTTCAAGCAGTTTCTTAAAACTTTTTCTTTGGATGCTAGATCTCTATTTTGAGGTTATGCAAGCTCATCAAGACATCTATCCACATCGTTGATTGTTAGTGTGGCTTTCTAAGTAAATGCTTACAAAACATTTTATACAACTTCACCAAAATCACCAACTACTTGCTAGTTGTCTTTTAAAGGTCTTTTATAATTCAAAAGCTATTGACGTTTATCTTCTGATAAGGCAAACACTTCGCTTAAAACTTTAGCTAAATTTTTATAGTTTAAGCCATAATTAAGACGTTATTTATCATGATGAGGCATTATTAACCTAAGGATAGTAAATGTGTAAGATGGACATCTATTTGTTTTAAATGTAGAGTCAATGAATCTTTATACAAATTTTTTTCTTTGCCCTTTTTTAGATTGCTAGACTTAATTATAAAATTTGACTAAAAATGAAAAGAGTGTTTTCTCTAGGATAGGAGATTTTTTAATTTCTAAGCGAAAGGTATTATCTTCTTCTTTAACTGCTTTTTCTCTTTTCATTTTTGGTGAATCAATACCATATTCATCTGCTGAATCACCAAAGTGAAAATTATCAGAATTTTAGTTAATTTTAGAATCCTCTTGCTAAAATTCATCAAAATCCATATTATACTCTTAAGCTTTTTTCTTCCTAGTAGAAATATCACTTTGTTTCATCTTTGATGAAGAAATTGGCTTTATATTAACAGACAATTCTTGATTTTATTCTTATTTTATCTTATGCCATTTATAATAGTTTTGCATTTTTTGTGAAAAAATATTTATTTAATTTTGATCAGATATTTTTTTGAATATTTGATTTTTTGAATTTTTGTAATTAAAGTAATATTTGGCGGAACTATTAAATTCAATCAATTAATTAATCACTTATTAAATATTATAAATAGAGATTAAATATCACAATCATTAAATATTTTTATGCATTAATCTTTGATATTATTTAGTGTTTAAAAAACATTTTTTAAAAAAATATATTTTATTTATAAATAGGCTTTAATTTCTTTTTACTAATTAAAATTCTATTTATTTTTTTTTAGCTTACAAGTTCAATTAAATAGTTGGTTCTACTAAAGTATGTAAATTAAAGTAAACAATTATAAGTTTTTTTGCTTGATAAAGTTCATTTATTGGCTTATAAATTATTATTTTTGATTAATTAAAACATAATGAGAGAAAGATTACTAAAAATTTTAATTTATATTAACAATTAAGTATAATTAAGAATATTAATAAAAATTATATATTTTAAATGAAAAAATATTATGATATGGAAAATATTTGATTATTTTCATTTATTATTATATTTTAAAGTATTAGATAAATCAAGCTTCGTTTGATGGATTTTTCATCTATTCTCTTAGATATTCTTCATAGTTCTTTCTTTCAATAGCTCTGATTTCATTCATATCTGGTAATTAACCTCCAGGAGCAGGACATACAGCTATTCTCATATAGAAAGGTATATCAGAGTTATCAGCTTTAGGGGAATAATCAGCAGGTAATGTGGGATCCTTCTTTTATTATGAATTCATTTTTATTTTTATTTTTTAGATAATTTTTTTTGTTTATTTGTTTTTTGATAAATTAATTATTATATTTTTATTAGGTAATTAATCCACAATTTTAAATTAAACCAAAATAATGTTTAATGAGCTCAACAAGAACACCATAAAATCTTAAAGAATTTAAATTTGAGTATAATAAAACATCTTATTTAAGAGAGAGAAAGCAAAATACAAAATATATTTAATCTACTTAAAGACAAATACTATATCTGTGTTCTATAAAAATCCTCCAAATAACCAATTAGGAGCTCATTTAAAAATGTTTTTAAAGCATTTTTTTTTATTTTATAGCCTTTATTTGAGGGTGACAAATACTGTCTATATTTGAGTATAATAAAAAATCTTATTTAAGAGAGAGAAAGCAAAATACAAAATATATTTAATCTACTTAAAGACAAATACTATATCTGTGTTCTATAAAAATCCTCCAAATAACCAATTAGGAGCTCATTTAAAAATGTTTTTAAAGCATTTTTTTTATTTTATAGCCTTTATTTGAGGGTGACAAATACTGTCTATATTTTTATTTTGTAATATACCTTAATATTTCTTATTTAGGATATGAAATAAAATTTTAAAATTGTATTTTTCATTTGATTTAATATCCATGATTTTCGTCCACAGCCTTTATTTAGAGACTATATTGATATAGACTTTATGGTAGATTAAAATGACGTGCTTATGAATTTTTAAGCTAAAAATTTTAGAAACTTAAATTTTAGAAATGTTGATATAAGAACTAAATAGATTGAAAGATTTTAAGTTTTAAATAACATATTACTTAAAAGTGAATTAATTTTAGAATTTAAAAATATTTTATGTAAGAATTATGTAATTATAATATCATTTAATTATCAATAAATAGTTTGCTTAAATATTATTTAACAATTGATAATAAAAAATATATTTGAATCATAATTAAATTAAGTAACTTCAAACTAATTTCATGAAACAGATAAAATAAAAATTATAAATTCACTTTCTTTATTTAGAGACTATTTTGTTTGGTATTGACTTTATTATAGATTATAATGATAAACTTGCGACTTTGTGATTTTAAAATTTTATAAACTTCACTTTTGTGTTTATTAATATTAGAACTAAAAATCAAATTTTTTTTTTCTTCCATTAGACTTACATATTTTAAATTGTTTTAAATTAGAATTGAAAAGTATTGTATGTAATTATGATATCATTCATGTATCAATAAATGATTTAAGTATTTTTGATTAATTGATAATAAATAAAAAAATTTGAATCATTATAAAATTAAGAAACAAATAATTCAAACTAATTTCTTGTAAATATAGTTTTATAAAAAATAGATACAAAAAATAAACATTTTTAAATCATGAGGGATAGATTCAAAAATTATTATATATCTATAAAAATGTTATCAATTAATTATTCATATATGATTAATTAAAAATAAAGGAAAGATTTTGTTGGTTTTAAAATGTGTTGTTCACCGGATATAATTAAACTCAACATTTTTATATTATATTTAATATATTTAGATAGAGACAAATAGTATTTATCTATTTTATTTTGAAGTATAATTAGTTTTATGATTAGAAAAAATTAAGAATAGTAAGTAGTAAATAATATGCCAAGCTATTTATTTTAAATAACCTAAGATTTTATCATGAATTTGCTAGAACCAAGTTTGATAATTAAATTTTTAAGCCTTCATTTTGTTTAATTATTTTTTACTATAATATATATTATAAATAACAGAACGAATATCAATATATCCATCTATCTTACAAATAAAAAATTTATAAATGATGTAAGCTAAAAAAATAAATTAAGACTACTCTAAATTTCAGATATCTCTTAAATTGTATTTTTCACAAAATAAATTGATTAAAAATATAAAATACAATGATTATTTTGTTTACATAAAGGGGAAGGTGATTTGATTTAATAAGATAACTATAGTATTTATATATTATTATTTTTTTATAATTAGTAGTTTACTTTTTTTGAGCATTTATTCTTTAGGATAATCAATTAATTTACTAAAATGTTGCTTAATTGTTTTCTATGCTTTCTATATTTTCACATTGCTTTAATATTATTGGATATTTTATTTTATCATAAATTATTTTAGCAAATAAGAAATATAAAAATATTAGCAATAAAACTCCTGCTACTGCTAAGTAGCTCATAGGCGATACCCAATCTACAAAATCATAAGGTGGTTCATAGGTAAAAGTCACAATAATATTATCTATCATATAAACACAACTAATAATATATACAAGAATCAAGTGCTTCCAAGCGAATCGAATGTTATTGATAAAAAAATCAATATTTATGCACACATAAATTAATCCATGTTAAAGAACTTAGTTGAAGATATACCATTTATCATCCATTTCATCTTCTGGAGTATCTGGAAAATCTGCAATCCAAAACATAAGCACAATAACAAATGAAGTGCTAAACGCAAAATGAAATAAAGAATGTATTATTTTCCAAAGCTTACTACAATAATTGATTTTATTTGATTTAAAAAACAAAATCATTTCTATTAACGCAAATATAAAGTAGAGATTAGCGCTCCATACTCCCCAAAATGTAAGATATTAAAAGTTTGTATAAAACAGAGTATAATCTGCACTACCATATTCATAAAATTAGCACCACCAAACAAATTGAGTAAATAATAAAAGTACAACTCTTATAGTAAATAAAACCTTCAAATTATTTTTCAGGAAAGCAGATTAATTTATTTGAGGTTTATCTTCATCGAAAAAAACCATTAATTAATATATGATTTATCCAATTTATAGTCTTATTTGATTGATTTAGTATTTCAATTTAATTCAGTAGATTCCAATATTTTTTTGTCAAGAAAGATTTATTTAAATTCAGGCCAAAAATAGTAAAATTTGTTTTGATATTTCATAAAAAATACTTCTTAATCCAAGAATATAGAATGAAAATATGTCATTTCAAAATATTTAAGTTTCATAAAGAAGTGATTTTAATTTAATTAAAAATAATTTAATAAATAAATAAAAATGATACAAGGTCACTTCAATTCATACAGATCATAAAAAGATGCTTATGGGTTATATATTAATTAATTTTTTAGTTATTTATTATATGCAACATATTAAAATTTAGTTATTTCTTGCCATTTGCAAAAAATCTTGTTTAACATGCAAACGTCCTCAAAAAAAAAATCAGAGTTTATGTCTATTTGAATCAATTAACTGTGATTGCTCATTAGCAAATAAAACTCCTATAAATTGTCAATACTTGTAAAATGGCCGATTAATTAAGAGATTTAAGGCTAAATTTTATATTTAGAAATAACGTTGTTAACTTAAGAGAACTCAATACCAATATGAAAATATATTGCTTGCTACTGAATTACATCAACAATCAATTTTCTTTCAAATTTATCACCAAATATTTCACTCTTTCCGAAAGCAGAAAACACTGTATAAATAAACAATTCTATGTCTTCTTGCTTAATATGCTAAATATAGATATACACAGCCTTTAAATTCCTGTACTTAGAAATAAATCTTTTTTGTTTGAAGTTTTAAATATGGCTTTTTAGCTAATCTATAGAATCAATTTCTAAGCTCTCTTGCCCCATTAATATTTGATTTAGTACATATTTTTTGAATCTTTTTCCTATCAGTATCAAGCTTATAATTGACATTATCAAAATTATAAAATCAAAAGAGCTTAAAGACTCATTTGCAATATATTATTTGAAATAAGTAAGGTTGTTTAGTAAGGCTATGAGTAAAAATAGTTTTTAAACAAAAGAAAAAATTATCATTTTGTTAAAAAAAGAAGGTCTAAGAGATTTTAAAGACTCTATTCCTCTGTTATCAGTAAATTATCTCTGATCAATATCTATGTGTATTAATTATTTGATTCCTATTACTAAACAAAGAAGTGAGGCAAATGGTTTCTTAGCAACAAAGTAGTTAATCTACTTAAATATGGATGTCATAAATAAAAATATTAAAACAGTGTCAAATATTAAGAGAAAGTAACCAAAATAATTGATACTAAAATTAGTTATGATTAACCCAAGATAAGTAACAAAATTGAAAGTAGAAATTAAAAATTCCTTAGCAAAATTCTTTAAAAATTTATCATTACAAAAATCAATAAATTAATCCTACTCAAATAGACTCACTAACCAGACTATGAAGAAATTTAAAGCAAACGACAATATGATAAACGCAAAAAAAACATTTCTTAATGGTGTTTAGTTTTAGTATATGTAGACAGCAGAAGCAATATGCATAGGGAGACTATAAATACTAGTAATTAGGGCATACATATCTCGACCAAATTAGTTAAATTTAGGATATTTATCACAATTAATAATGAGAAAGAGATCCTCTAAGCAAAAAGGAATAAGTATAAGCACAATTAAGTGGTCAAAAGATTATAGAAAACAGTAAGAAAATATGTTGAAGGTTGCCAATATCCTATCAACTAAATAAAATGATATAAAGCAGGAATACAATCTAACGTTATTATCCTTTTAATATATAAGAAAAATAATTTATTATTTCTGGAAAGTAAAATTTTTAAATAAACTTTATTACACTTATCATTTATAAAGACAAGTAGATTAACAAACCCCTTATACATTTCATAAAGATTATGTATAATAAAGATAGATTTCTTGGTACATTAATTTAATTGTCATTATTATTTTAATTCATTTTATAATCTCTTAATTGATACTAAAAATTATTTATTTCTAAATATTTATTTAAAGTTTTTATTTATTGTTCTATCTATCTTTCTTTAAATTGTTTATTTATATTAAGGATATTCATTCTATTTCATTAGTTAGCACCTTACTATTTAAATTTTGTAAGTTAATAATTATATTTATTCTTGGTTTTAAATAATACCTGAAAAAATTGAAAATTTTATTTTGTTTACATTATTTAAAAGTAAATTTCAATTAAATTAATTACGTCATTTGTAAACTACTTCTATTCTAAACTTATAAACAAAACCTATTAAAAATTTTAGTGTAGTTAATATATAAATATTTAATTCAACAAATTTTAAATTTATAAAGTCTTTTTATTGTTTCTTAACTTTAAATAATTTTATTGATTAATCTTTATTTATTTTTCAAAGAATTATGAAAGATATTTTATTTTAAATGATTAATATTTACTATCTTTTATTTATTTAATATTATTATGAGAAAATAAGTTTGATATTCGTTCTTTATTCTCTAAAAAAAAATAATTTAAATGAAATTTAAAATTTTAGTTTCAACTTTAAAAAATCCAGTTAGATTTATTTTCTCACTAAATTTTTTTGTTAATTTAAGCAACTAACAGTTTTATCATACATTAAAAATTTTTTATTTTTATTTTAAAGCCTACCTAATGAAAAGGGTACTAGTAGTTTAAATAATAAATCAGCAACTAAGGGAGAAGTTTTAAAAAGTTTTCATATTAATTTTTTATTTACAACACCAAGGAGAACAGTTAGCAACTCTGCTGCCTAACTAGTATTACAATTTGAACAAAAATACTTGAGATTATGAGTAATTGTATATGAAGGTTACATAAATAATGTTGGTTTTATACTTTAATTTAAAAATTATATTATTCATTTTTTATTTTTAAGCATTTAATAGCCAGCCAATTAATTAAATGATGAAAAATTCAATTGAAAACATATTTTATAAAAAATTTATTGCATTTTTTAACTACTACATTTATTCTTAATTTTTAATGAAAATCAATCAAAAATATCTAAAAATTAATATATTTATTGAAGAAAAATCTAATTTAACCAATTTTAATTTATGAAATATTTATAAATTTTTTTTAATTTTAAATTATATACTTTCTATTATTAATTATATATATTATATTTATAGAAAAATGAATATTTGATTACACATTTTTTATTTTCAATTAAAAATTATTCTACATTAAATTTAAAATTATTAAGAAATTTTACAATGCAACATAAATTTTGATTTAAATTTCATTATATTTTTACTAAATTTTTTTTGTTTTTAAAGGAAATACTTAATTTATCATTAAAATGGATTTGTGTGATTTAAAAGTCTATCTAATGATGAGGGTAGTAGTTTAATTACTATACCTGCTGCAACGGATGAAGCTCCAACAAGAATGCATATTATGTTTTACTCAAGACTCAAAGGTGAGCATTTAGCTACTCTACCGCCTAATTAAACCATAATGATTTGAACAAAAATAGTTGAAACTATAATAAACAAGAAGAGAGGATTATTGAAAAATCCTTAGAACACATTAATTTCACTAGACTTAAGTTTTCTGCAATTAATTTCATTGAAAACTGAAAGGAAAACAAAAATATTAAAAAACATAGTTAAATGTACACCATTTTCCTCTGTCCAGTCTTTGTTTTGAATACCATTATCTACTCCAAATAGTGATGGGCCATTGAACAGAATAATGCATAATACAACTATTTGGTAAAGACTTTATAAAATAATTCCTTTCCACATATTAGGAGTTACTATTGCATCAGTACGCTTAACGGGTTTTCTTTAGAGTAATTCATCATTTGGGGGTTCAGTTGCTAATGCCAAAGCAGCCAAAGTATCTTGCATTAAATTAACCCACAGAATTTAAATTGTGTTGAAAGGAGATTCTCTAAAAACAAGGCCACCTAAGAAAGCCATAAATAATGCTACAACGTTTATAGTAAGCTAAAACTAAAGGAATTTTCTTATACAATCAAATATATTTCTACCCCATTTAATAGCAGTAATTGTGCTTGAAAAGTTATCATCTATTAGTATAATTCCTGCAGCTTCTTTAGCTACTTCTGTTCCAGAAATTCCCATTGCAAAACCGATATCTGCTTTTTTTAAGGCTGGAGCATCGTTGGTACCATCTCCAGTTACAGCTACTACTGAATCACATTTTTATAAACCTGTAACTAATAAAAATTTATCTTCAGGAGAACTTCTTGCTAAAACTCTCAAATCTTAAATAATGTCTTTAAATGCATCTATATTGCCAACTTCGTACCTTTGAATTTTGCCATCTTCTCCTCTTATTTCCTAAAGACCTCCTACTAATTCTCTAAATTACTTTCCTTCCATAACTGTGTATCCTCCATCACTTGTGCTATAATCTTAACTTATTATACCTGCTTCTTTAGATATTGCTATTGCAGTCTCTTTATTATCTCCTGTAACCATTCTTACTGTAACTCCAGCATTGCTACATACTCTAACTGAATCACGGATTCCTCTTCTCAAAGGATCTTGAATTCCTACCATTCCTAAAACTATAAAATCTTATTCTATTTAATTCTCTTCTGGGAGCTAATCTGCATCCATATAAGGAATTTCTTTGTAAGCTAATAACAAAGTTCTCAAACACTCATTAGAGAACTTTTGTTAAATATCTTAAAATTTTTGTAAAAATTACTAGCTAATCTACTAGATTTAACCATTTTTATTAACAAACCTGCTACATTATTCAATTAAAATTTCAGGTGCCCCTTTTGTGTAGACTCTTAAAGTACCTTGAACTCCTTTTTTTGATCTGCAAACAGTGGTCATTCTTTTTCTTGCAGAAGAGAAAGGAATTACTTTGATAATATTGTCAGAAGGTCTAAAATCTCTGTAATTAACTTAAAATTTGTAAGCTAGCTCAAGAAGAGCGCATTCAGTTTTATTTCCATTATATTCAAATTTTCCATCATCAATTTTGGGAAAAGCATTTGAATTGACGCTAATTCCTTCAGTTAAAATATTAACAAAGTTTTAGTCAAAACTCTATCTTTCAAATTCGCTGTGCACTTCTTCTAAAGCATACATTTTTTTTACTTTCATCTTGTTTTCAGTTAATGTTCCTGTTTTATCACTGCATATTGTATCGGCACCTCCCATAATTTCACAAGAAATCAGGTTTCTAACTAAGTTATTTTCATCTTTCATTTTACCAACAGCATAAGCTAAAGATAATGTAACTGCGAGAGGTAAGCCTTCAGGAACAGCAATAACTACTACAGTTATACCAACAATTATAAAATCCACAATTTCAGAAAGAGTATCAATAGATAACAGCTTAAGATCGTTGCTAGAATAAATTGTATAAAGCAAATTTAAAATCATGCATAAAACAGTAATGAAAGCCCATTTGAATCCTATATTTCCAATTTTTTCTACAAACACATCAAGCTTTTCTTAAAGAGGTGTCTTTTTTTCTTCTTCCTCTTCTTCATTCATAAGTGCTTGCTGTTTGCCAACTCTACTCATTTATCCTACGGCAAGAACTACCATCAAGCCGCTTCCTTCTATGACTTTAGAGCCAGAAATAAGGAAAGGCTATGGATTTTTTGCATGCTCTCCGATACTATATTTTTTAATAGGATCAGATTCTCCTGTTATTGAAGATTCATCACACACTAAATTACTACCTTATATTAAGAATCCATCTACTGGAAAGACTTCACCAGTTTCAATGTGCATTATATCTCCTACTAAAAGTGAGTATATTGAAATATGGACAGTTTCTCCATTTCTTATTACTCCAACATCTCTCTAAGCAACTTATGCATTTAACTTTCTAAACTACTTGTCCTTCATATAGTTGTTTACTGATGTTATAGTAACAATAATAAAAACAGCTATAAAAATACCTATTCCATCTATCCAACCCTCTGCTATGCCTTATTTTATGCATCCAATTACAAGGGAGACAAAACATGCAACACATAAAATCCTTAGTACATCATCCTCTAAACACTCCATCACCAACTCAAAGAAGGTCTTTGGAGGTTTAGTTATATTTTCATTTTGACCAAAGGCCTAAATTCTATCTGAAATAGACGTATCAGAGGTATCAATACCTTTTTTTTAATGAGTTTTTAAAATTTTAAGTAGACCTTCTACGTTTCCTATATCCTCAATTTGCTTCAAAGATTAACCTTCTCTAATACTATCAGGCTAGAATAAATCACTTAACTATTCTTTTCTTATTTAAAAGCCTGTAGGTATTGTATTTTCAATACTATCACCTACTTCTAAGTTATTATATACCCTAGACATTAAATTACTATTTACTTTTTTTTTGTATTTATTTTGTTTTTTATCAATAAATTATTAAAAATCTTAAAAACTGATTTGATTTAAATTAGCCAAAAAAAGTAAACTATCTACCGATATCATTTTTTGATTTAAAAAATTATTCAACACTGAAAAAATTAATAAGTAAATAAATAAATATAATATAATAATTAAAATAAAGTATCCATGCATAATAACATGAATGTAGAGTTAATAATTTGTATTATATCGTTACTGATAGTAAATAATTTGGTAATAAGATATAATTATATTTTATTGTTTATCTTTTTTATGACTGTAAGATCAAATAATTTTTTTTTTATTTCAAGTGTGCTTAAATTAATAAATTATAATTATTAAAATATGAATGGAGATTAATAATTATTAGGATATTCTATAGATATTTACAGTAGCCCTTAAATTTACTTTTACTTTGCAATATAAAGCGAATTAATAGATTACCCCTCAAGCAAAATAGCCTAAAATTTTTAATGTCTTCAAATTTTTAAATATATGAAAAAGTTAATGATTATGATTTTTTACCTGAAAACGCTTAAAAATTTAAAGACCCAAGAGAGTTTACTAATGTTTTATTTAAAAGAATGAGTTACCATTTTGAAGATGGTAATGGTAAAATAAACGACTTTATCATAGCGCAAAGCTTTTCAAAAAATAATGCACTAATCAACTAAAACTTGAATTTAAAGTACCATTCCTAAAAGATGAATTTAAGATAATCAGTTGACAAGAAAGATGATGAGTTTAAAGATGTCATTCGTAAAAAAAGTACAATTGAAGCTGAGGAAAATTGGCTAGCTAAATAGTAAAATCCTCAAGATTCAATGGCTCAATATGATTACACAATTAAAAATGATTGCAAAACTTCATTAGAAAAACTAGAAGAATTAAAAACAAATCAAATAAAAATTTTGAATTCTGGTTTGAGGAATAAGTCCCCATAAATAGAAGATACTCTTTTATACTAGAAGGGTACCTAATATCAATAATAAGAAAATATAACCTCATATCAGCCATATAAAATTAAGCAAAACACTAACGATTTCTAAGTAGTAGTTAGGAGTAATTCAAAAGATAAAACAGGGAAATCTTCTCTCAATCAGAGCTACATTGGACGCAAAAAATATCCAATTATTCCTAGCTTTGAGAGGTAAACAGAGACGTCTTAATTAAAAGTGAGAAATAACTAGTAGTATGAGATTTTTGAAAACATAGAAAATGCTATCTTGAGCAGACCTTAATCAGCTTTTCATAATTGTTAGAAATTGCAAAAAATGTATAATACTTAAAATAGACAATAATTATTAATTTAATAGAATTAAAGAAATGATGATTTAAAGCAAAAAACTAAAAGACTAAGCTAAAGTAATAATGCTAGTTATATAAGTGAAAAGGGTTCGTTCCTTTCAACTTATAATAATACCTAAGAAACTGTGATGGATTACTATAACTTTACATCAAACAACATTTAAAATGAAAAAATAAAATAGAGAAAGAGGAAATAAAACCCTGAAGAAGTTAGCCCATACTAAAAGCATAAATTTCATAAGGTTTGCCAAAAAATATAAAATATAAATTCTTTAGATCATTATATGAAAATGACTCAAGAAGAGATTGATTAGCTTGGCAAATCTGTAGTTAGCGAAGAGTAAAAACAGTAAAATACAAATGAAAGAATGATAAAAAAATTAAATAAGTCAAATATTGAAATTCTAAAGCAGCAACAGCATGATCAACTCCTAAAAATTGTAGACATATTTTAAGATACTAAGAATAGTTTTTAGCTTAATACGATTTAAAAAGACTCAAGCGTCAACCAAAATAAATCAGTACTAGTTTCTACTGCTTAATCAATATATTAAAACAAAAGCCACTCCCTTACCCCAAATTCTCAAAATAAAAACATCAGAAATGTATCTTCGTAAAACTAAGCATATACACCGTCCACATTAAAAAGAAAACTAATAGCAAATAAATACGATGAAAACTTAGATTATTCACCATTTTATGTCAAGGATAAAGTATTTTCCATAAATTCACCAAACAGAAGAAGTTAAAACTAATCTCCTTAGTCATCAGAATTTTCCTACAATAGTTAAAATCAAATCTTAGATTAATAAAAAGGGAAATAACCAAATGAAGATGTAAGCAAAGTTAAATTTAAAAAATATCAATGAAGTCTTGTTAACAATATTAAATAGGACGAAGAAGGTTTTAGCTAGTACATTCAAAATTTAGAAGGCACAGATTTATTTATGAATGCAAACTCAGAAGAACAGCTTAATGCAAAGCTTAAAGTACTTCACTTAAAGTAATCTTACTATAAAATGAAAAACACAAAAACTATTACTGATCAAAGCCAAATTTACTTTGGAAAAAAAAGTAATGAGCAAGGAAAAATTTCCTTAGGTTTAGAATAGAAAATTAAGCTTTTTAAATACTTAGAAGATGACGATGATATCAAGATTCATTTCTAAAAACCAAAAAAGTATGTAAGAAAGTAAGTAGTAGTTAGTAACAAATAAAAGTAAAAAGAAATATCATTTGTATAAGCAGTGAGAGATTAACAGAATTAATTAGGAATATAAAGCCTTAAAATAAAATTTGGTAAACAAATAGCAAAACTTTACGATTTCTTGAAGAAATGCATCCGTTTAAAAGTGTGTGTTGATGATGTATTTTATCCATTTATAAAATTTTTAATTTTATTCAATATTAAATTATTTATTAAATAGATTATTGAGTAAAAAGTTTTTACTACTGAGCCATATGAAAGGCCTGGCTCATATGTTTTTTTCAAGATGGTGAAATAAAACTAATTAGAATATGTTAAAAATTAGATTAAAGAATGTAGGTGGAAGCTATTTGATTTTGATCATGTAAATATTAATATAATAATATATTTTTTTCACTAATCTTATTTTTTAACAGATGTTGATGACACCTCTTCATATATCTATAATAAAGGGCTATAAAGAAATGGCTTGCTACTTTATTGATCAACTCTCAGATTTAGAAGCTGAAGATATTGATAATAAAACACCAGTAATAAAGTATTTTTTTAATTAATTTATTTATTTAATAATTATTAAATAATAGTTATGGTATGCAATAAAAACTCAATAATATGACATCGCTAAGGTATTTATTTATTTTTTTTAATAATTTAATTAATTATAATAATTATAAAAGTATCTACTTATAAATCATGCTATCCCTTGGGCTAATGATAATTTTAAATATTATGATTTCATAAATGATATTGATATGAGAACTTCACTAAAAGTAGCAAGATAAATATTCTTTTTAATGAGCTGCACAGCATACAAAGGAAGATAAATTTTATGGGAAAAGGTTAAAAATAAGATACTTGATCCACTGACTGATGAATAATTATGAAAATGAATGTGTTATATTAAAGTATTAAATTAATTAGAAATAACTCAATTCTTTGTAAATATTTTATCTAAAATTAAATTCTTTTAAAACTAACATATCTAAAGTTTATTTTTATACTTTTTTGTAATTATTGATAAATATAACAAAATAAATTATTTCTAAAATCAAAATAAACTTCAATATTTATTTACTCATATATTAAAACCAATTTTTTTTTTTTCAAGCTAATTTACACTTCTCTTTTTCTAGTTTTTAAATTTAGAAATAACTTTGTTTTAAATATTTAAATTTAAATGATATCTAATAGATTTACAAGAAAATAAATATGCCAACTCAACTTATTTATTTATATTAATGAATATTCTAATTTTGAATGTGAAATGAATGAAATATAGTTAATTTACATAATTAAAAAACAAACTCCAAAATAAAGTGTTTAATAAATATAATTTGTAATTCTATTAATTTTTTTTCATTTTTTAGATTCAACAATAGATGAATGTAGATTAATTAGTTTTTTAAGGTCTTCATCTAATGACAATTTGTGCTTAGATTATTGATCATAGTTACTCATGTTATTATTTTGATCAGATTCATTAATTTAATTAAATAGAAGCTTTTATTCATTATTTTTAATGGAAATCATATTTTTTTACAGGTAATCCATATTCTGGTAACTACTTTTTATTTGATAATCACTAATTTTATTTAAATTATTACCATTCATAACTTTAATCTAATTAAAATTAGAGTTGTTATTTGTATCATCTGAATTCAGAACTTCATTTTGAACTGTGAATGGACTGTAGGATAAATTAGTTTTGGAATTCATTTAATTATTTAGGTTCACCTAATCTTCTTTATTGCTTCTTTTAGTGTTTTAGTTAGATGGAATTTCTTCTTAAATATTTTCTTCTAAAATCTAATTATGAATAGGGTCCTATTTTTTAACTGGATTACAGAAGCTGTATTTAGGTACGTGATCAGATTATGGATATTAAAAATAATTTTCAGAATAATTATTAGAAAAGTTACTACTTTGTATTTGATTTTCGTTATCTTGATAAAATGGTTGGCTAAACATCGATATCTTTTAATATTTAGAATTACTATTCGATAAATTAAACTAAATTGGTTGTTAATTTTCAAAATTAATTTGCTGATTTTGCTAATTTATATAAGAGTTAGGTTAATATTCTTATTAGACAATAATTTCTTGATTAGCATTTTGCTAAAATGCATTATATTAATTTTAATTTTATTAATATTGCTTTAATGCATTAACATTATTAAATACACTGTTGCAAGAAAGTTCATTGTCTACATCTTTAAATGTACTTTTTCTTTAGTTTGAATCATTATACATATAATTACTAATTATTGACTAATAATACTAAATGTTTTATTCATATTTTTACATTTTTTCTCGATTCAAGGTTATAAGATCAGATAATTTAAATAACTTATCTTAAAGTAAGTCTCTTTCATTTGCTAGTTGAGTATTTATGTCAACACTTTTCTCATTTTAATCTTATAGTTACTCAAGGTTTTAAATTAAAACCTATGACTTATTCGTAAGCTCTTTATTTTATTCCTTCAAACAAGAGTTTTCTTAAATAATTTAAATTTTCTCTGATTCCAATTAGTTTAATTTATTCTAAAAGTAATTTAACTCTGGATTTTGCTGTTGTTATTATGACTGCTTTTCTTTTTAAATGGCTATTTCTTCTAATTCATCGTTTCTTCTTTCAAGCACTTCTATCCTTTTTTCATAGCCATCATTTCTCATTTTTAAGAACTAAATTTCTTCTTTGAGACCTTATTTTTCTTCATTCCTCATTTCCAATTCTTTTTGAATTTATTAAGTTTAATTTATAAGTTTATTAAAATCAGCTTTTAAGTTTTAGATATCTTCATTACTTCCTTAAATCATCTCCTTGTACTATTTATTTTTTTCTTTTATGTTTCTGAATCTGTTTAAATAATTTTTTTAAACAAGAATTATTAAAAAAATAAGATATTTTACTTAATTATTTAATCTTGCTGTTCTTTGATTACATCTAATTACTTTTTTGAAAATTCTTCGAGCTGATTAAAAGTATTTTGCATTTCATCCATTTCCATTTCCTTCAGCTGAATCTACTTTTTGTAAACATCTATTTATGTTTCTTGCTCTTAAATTTTGCTCATGAATTTTTAAGCTTCTGTTTCATATTCCATTCTTAATTTGTTATATTAATGAAAAGTCTCTTCTTTTTCTTTATCTAAGCCATCCTCGTATTCTTTCTAATATGTTTAATGTTTTAATATCAAATCTTTAATTAATTAAGAATTACTTTGGATTTAATCATTTGATGAAGTTAATCTTCTATTTTCGCTATCTCATCTTTAAAGGAGGAGTTTTATGCAAGTAATTCATTTTTTTAATTGGTAATCTACTAAATTTGAATAGATAGTTTTAAGACTTAGTTATTTTTTTCTTCGATTTATTCCTAATAGAAATTTTATTCATCATCTTGCTATAAATGTATCTACTACATTTTATTCTGTAATTATTGAATTATGTCTTCTTTCTCCTTTACGTTATTCTCAATATCATTAATAAAATTTTTCATATTTTCAACTTCTTTTTCATATTCACATATAAAATCTTTTAATCTTTTTATCTCCTTATTCCTCTCCTCGATATCTTGACTTTACTATTTCATTGTTTCTTCATAATTTTATTAAATACTCTTAACTACCTTATTCCATTTCTCTGTTTCTTCATCTTTAGAGAATTATTTTAATGTGTATATACGAGAAGTGAGCTCCATTAATTCATCTCTTAAAGAATCCATTAAAGATTAATGTTAGTTACCCTAAGCTTACATTTCATCAACTATAGCATTTAAACGCTAAATAGAGTGTTTTATAATAGTTTTAATTCCCGTTTCTTCATTCTTAGCTCTATCAACAAAAACTTAAGTCTTTTCAATAATTTCATCATCTTCTTGGTAATTTTATTACGATTTTTAATTGCTCAACCTAGATAATTTATTTCTTAATTCATTTTCGATTTCTAATTTATTTGCCTTTAAAATAGCACTAATATTTGAATTTTTGTCATTATTGTGTTCATTTAATATTTAGGAAGCTTTTTTACTTAAAACCTCTTTTCCAAATTTTTCATAGCTTTTTTGGCTATCTGTCCTTGGAAGTTTTTATTGTAAATTTGCTGCTTAAAAGTAATTATTCTGATTTACTTCTGATTCAAAATTTCCTTAAAAAGTAGCATAATTCTATCCTCTTTAATCTATAATAATATTTGTGATTAGCTCAAGATCTTTGAATAAAATAGCTTTGAAATTTGCAGTATTTATTTCCTAAATTTAAAAAAATAATTTTTTCATAAGTAGGTAGAATATTTAACAATAAATTATTTAAATTTTTATTAAAATATATTTTACCTTATAAGCAGCTACATATTTTAATAGATTATTATTTCTGTATTCAGCATAAGCATTTAAAATGTCTTCTAATTATTTTTTATAAATATTTTTATCATTTATCTAATCAGATTATAAACATCTCTCTTTCATTTTGAATAATTCTAAATTTAAACAACCTACTTAGTCTTCAAGCATTTTTTTATCTTCGAAAGCAATACGTACTTAATCTTGTACATATTATTTAATTTCTTGCTCATCTCTAGAAGATAAATCAATTAAGTGAGCTATATCATCAATCGTTAAAGACTTTTCGTAAAGTCTAACATATTAATTATAAATATACTAATTTTAAGAAACCAACTTTTCAATAATTAAGTCTTTATTATCGCCTTGATCACTAGAAAGCTGTTCAATTTCCTCAAATTAATTTCTAATGTTATTTTAAATACTTTCGTATTGAGCTTATAATTCGCTTTAATTCATTTTCTTGCTTATTTACGCAAACAATTATATAAATAAATAAATCGCTAACTATATCTTGATTTATTTAAAGATATATGAGTTAAGATTATAATTTGAATTTCAAACAATTATTTGCCTTAAAAATACATAATTTGCACTGATTATCAATAAAAACTAAATCATTTTGAAAAATCTTAAATAGGCTTGTATTTGATAGAATATAACCAATAAATTTTATTAATTTTTTTATTATTTAAAAAAAAAATATTTTTGAATAAAACTTGATTGATTATAAAAATTTATTATCTTTAATTAATCTAATCCTAAAAAAACGGTATATTTTTATTATTATTTAAATTTGATGATTAAACTAATACTCTATTTTATATATTATAATTTTTTAAATTTCCTTCACTGATATTAAATATCTCCCAATAAATTTAAAGTACCGCAATTTAAAAGAAACTAAATACAAAATTTTACTGGAAACTTCTTTTGTCTATGGAAAAAATATAAAAGAAATAGAAAAATTTAACATTTAAAATTTAAGCTATATTATTGAAGCTATAAGAAAGAAGATAAATGGTATAAGAAACAACTTTTAAGTAAGTAATTCGTATAAAAAATATACAATAAAGTAATATAAAATTTTATTTACATTATTAGTGGCAAAATTATATTATAAAACAATAATCAATGTATATTTTTTATAAACAATTTTTATCTATTACTAATATTAAAAATAAATACTTCTTAGTTTTTAATCAATTTTATCCCTATCTTTTTTTCTATTTTACTTTTATTCTTTCTATCATATCGATGCATTATTGTTCATTGTCTAAATTCAACATTTAGCAAACCTCTAAAGCCTTTTATTAGTTGTTTTCGCAAAGGTATATAATAGAAAGCTCTTCAGCTGCTAGAGTTTTCAAATTACTATCTATGTTTGGTTTTTATAGGATGCCTTAAAGGATTTGTTCTGACTCATCAAAATATTATTAGTGCAATAAAGAAACTGCTAATTCAAACTAAGATAAAATATCTTGGGGCTTAAGTGAAACAGATTATCTAAAGAAATACTCTGATTCTTTATACAAGCGCAGGTAGCTGTATATTTGACCTAAAAATTAAAACAAGTCTTTTTTTGTCATGTCTGATAACTACTCTGCGTTTTCTATATCCTTTAAGTAAGGCTCTATTTCATTTTATATATGGTTTTTATCCTCTTGACTTACTTTGTTATAATTACTTGCAGCAAATATAAGATGCTTAAGTGCTTCTACATAATTTTAGTTTGCGAGGTAATGACTTGCTATATAACGCTATATTATTAAGGTTTGTTTTGGGTAATATTGCTTCATCCTCAATTCTAAAGCCTCTGCTTTATCAAACATTTAAAGTTTCACATAGGAGAAGTGTAAAATAAAAGCATATTCTAAAGAGAAATAGCTACTCTCCATTACTTCCTTTTCAAGCAGAGCTATCTCCTCAGAGTATTCTTCGTTATCTATAGCTTTCTCAACTTAATATTTGGTTTATTATTATTATTCTTCTTCTTGGAGAATTAAACTTTTTTATTTGATCCAGTTTAATCCGAAGTACCCACCTAATAAAGCACCAGCACCTACTAAAAGATATGTAATTTTTTTTGAAGAACTTTATAACTACTGTTAAAATACAGGATCTATATGAGGTCTTCCAGATGAAATCTACTTACTTCCAAAGCGATATTTAGTAAATTAGTATTAGCAAAGTGGTTTGTACATACTTTATTTACTGAATTAAATGGTGCTTTTGGGTAAGCAAGGATTTGAAAATCTAAGATTTTAGCCTATGATTTTATTGGTAAAAATAAGTTTATTCATATTTGGTTTTTTTTTTAATTTTTAGTTTAATATTTTTTAATTAATTTTTGATAAAACCAAAATCACAATTTATATATTCTAGTTAGTATGTAAATAAGTAGAATCATTCATAACATTTAAGTTTTTCTATTGTAAATATATCATGTCAATTTAGATATATTACGCATTTAAAATAGTTAATGCCTAATTATCTATTATCTATTTAAGGTTAAAATTTAGCCTCGAGCTCATTAAATTTATAATTTTAATTATTTTAACTTTATATTTCAAAATTTACACCTCAGTTTCAAAGCAATTTGAATAAATAGATTTATATTAAAATAAATAAGTAAATATATTTATTAGTATTTAAATACAAACATATTTTTTTGGGTTTTAATTTTCTTAAATTCCTAGAAAACATGTTTATTAAAATCATAGATAAAAACATAGCATTATTTCTAATAGATATTTTTAATTATGCATATTATTGGAGTTTTAAGATATAACCTAGATATTATTAATAAAATTTAATTTTTTAAAAGTAGTCTTTTTGAATATTTCAAGTCTAACCTTTTTCCTTTTTATTTTTCAAACATTCAATTTGTTTTTGATTTATTGATAAAATATTTATTAATTTTTATAAACTTCGATAAAAAGCAAAAACTTTTATTTTAATGATTAATAAGAAAATAAAAAGCTTATTTTAAAAAATTAAATAAAGGTTATTTCAATATAAAATTGAAAAATATGAATAAAAATATTTTTTTTATTTTTCGCAAAATGCAATTTTATAATTAAAAATTTGAGAAAAAAAATAATTTACAAGAATTGAATATAAATGATTTTTTAATTATGACAAATAAAATAAATAGATTGTTTTTATTAGGTTATTATTTGCAAATAATAATTTAACAAAATATGCATTAAAAACTGCATTCCTTCTTATTTTTTAATTTTTTTCGCAAAAGAAATAAGATTATGGAATCTTCTCTAAAAACAAACATAAAAATATGAGACATACAGTGAATAAATTTTGCATATTAAACTGAATAATTAAAGGATACACTAAGTATAACTTATTTATCCATGAAACTGTTATTAAACACATAAAAAAATTATTTTATTTATTGCAAATCTTGAAAATATTCAGAAAAAATGTAAAAATTTGATGTTAATGTTTGAATTCAGAAGTAAAGATTCATGACTAATATGCATAATATCTTATAAATGATTGCTACATTTTCATTTCTAAAATAACTAGATCATGAATTATATATTATCATCTATATTTTAGAATCTCCTTCTAATATATTATTTATTTAGTGATTTCTTCTTTTTTTTATGCATACACCTTCACTTTTTGTCATTAAAATATTGATTTGCTTAAATCAACTAATCACTCACTCAAATCTTTCATCTTAAGCAGCCTTTACTCTTAAGCTACTGAAGTAGTAACGAGAGACAGCATAACCAACAATCCAAGTATTCAAACCTACAATTTTCAATCTAATACCAAAAGAGTGGCCAAAAGATTCATTGTTATTTAATAAGAAATATGCTGCGTTGTATAATTTAGTTCTCATTTTCTATTTGCTTTAGATATCTTTTTCGATTGTTTATTTTTTAGATAATAAATATAAATTATTAAGTAATTTCTTTATTTACTTATTTAACAACCAACACATTTATTTCCTCATTAACACAAAAGATAATGAAATCTCTATATTAACATTCTAAAAAACAAAAGATATTGATTAATTGATTGATAAATAATAAAATATCTAATTAATTGTAATATAAATTAAAATAGAATATTTTATATTTTAATTAAATAAAATGACATTTTTAATTTGTTTTAAACAACTATTTTTTTTTGATATTTTTAATTGTAGAAAATTTACAATAAAAAAAAATTTCTTAAGACATTTTAATTTAGTTTGAGTATTTATTCAACTTGAGTTGAATTTTATGTTTAAAAATTAGCAGCTTGAGCTTGAATGGCAAAATGAAAACTGACATATATTTATTTATTAATGTATTCTTTAATAATTAATTAGGAAAATTTATAAAACAATTTACTTTAAATATGTTATTTATTTACTTATATTTTATTTGAAATGCTTTTGCATTAAATACTTAATTTTTGTTTAATACCTTACTTACTTTAGATTTTATTATTGACTTTATTGTTATAGGAAAATATTATATACCTATGTTTTTTCATATTATTTTTTATTCAAAGAAATATATGTTCTTTCAATTAAAGTTATTATAAGAAACAGCTCTTGTTTTACGAGTAAGATCTCCTTAAGATTTTTATTTTTTATTCACAATTTCATCTTTTAAAATAATATTTTCAAGTTCTTTAGATTTGACTGCTTATTCAAGTTCCATCATTTTTCTTTTCATTTCAATCAATCTAGTATTATTTGTTTAATCTAATTAGTTTATAGCAATTTAATTGTTTTATAAGGGTATTGCCTTAGTTAAAGTTGATGTACTTTAGTTTTATTGAATTTAATAGCTAGGTCTTTCTGAAGAGGCTTCTACATTTATTACTTTTTACAATTTTTCTGCACTAGCTTTTAATTTTTCCTTTATATTTTATAAAGATTAGTTACCTCCTTAAGTAGAAAGGGATCTTTCTGTATTAACAGTTTATTTAATATCAAAGTTTTTGGGAAGATTAACCTATTAATTTACTAAACCTTTTTGATTATTGATGAGTGTTGCAAGTGGATTTCTTTCTTAAGTCTTTAATAGATTTCCTAAATTTTCTCTTTGAGTACTTGCAACTTAATTCATGTATTAACCATTACCATACTATGGAATTTTATTATTTTCAGATACATTAGTTGTTAGATTTACTTTTGACTAGGAGGTAATATCATTTAAACTTTTAAGATGATTGTTTCTCTCATTTATGTTCTATTATTGCTATTCTTAAACTTAAAAACTTTAATCCATTTTATTTTTTAGGTCTCTAATTTGAGTATCTAAAACCTAGAATTAAAATAAATTTGTGAAAAATATTTATTTAGTTTATTAATTTACATCATATTTAGTGTTGAGGTCTATACTTTTTTTTTTATATTTCTGTTTCTTATTTGCAATTAACTTTATTCTTTCATTTAGCATTTTGATTTCCTAATCCTTTTTATCTAGCTTAATTTCCATAATCTTGAACTTGTCTATATATTCCTTTATCTTTTTTTCTCTTTCTAAAATCTGTTATTGATACTTTTCTTTTACTTTTGAAGAATCTTTGACCACTTTCATGTTGCTCTACTTTTATTAAATTATTTTTTAGAATGAAATTAAATATCGATTATTGTAAATTAATTATCTCATTTTGATCATATTAAATAAAATAATAATAATAATTAAAACCTCTTAAAGCTCTATAAGTTGCTATCTGACACTTTAGAGATCCAAATAGTACTTTTCTTTTATAGATTATTCTTTTTAGGAAATCAGATTATCAAAATTAGCCATAAGTTGTTCTTATTCTTTGATTATTGTATTTGAAGCCTCAACTTCTTAATTTTTCTTGTTTAAGTCATTCTAGATCTTATTTGTATCCTACTTTTATTTTGTAAGCTCAATATTGAGCTGCTAAATCTATAATTTAAGGTCTATATTCTCTTTTTCTAGTTAACCAAATTAAAGTTCGTGCTATTTTATTATTTCCTACATTTCTTAGTATGCTTCAAGCGATTCTTATTTAATTTTTTTTACCTCTTCGTTATGGTCTTTTTAAATTTTCCTTAACTGTTTAAAATGCAAATAATTTATTTATCTTCTCAAATAAAAAATTTATTTACATCATCTTTAAACTTTTCTTCATTATTTTTTTCATCTTGAAATTGTTTTGAACTTTTAATATCCTCTATTTATTTTTCTAATTCTTTGATTTTCTTATTGAGGTCCTTATTTTTTTCTTCTACTTCTTTAACATGACTCATTTTTTCTATTAAATAAATGAATATTTATTTTATTCAAGCATTTAAATATTATTTAATATACAATTAAAGGATATCTTTAATAGATTATAAGACTAAGCCCAATAATTTTCTGATTCTGTTTATCCTTGTCTTAATGTTGAGCATTCTTATTCTTTGCTTCCTAATTCGTTATTATACTCCTAAATGATGTTATCTTGTATAGTTATTTTTTAGCAAAGAGTTTTTATATAGACATCTTACTCTAATATTTTTTTATCCTTTTATGAAATCATTTGTTTAAGTTCTTTTTATTCATTTATACTCATGCCTACTTATCCTTTGATCCTATTAAGTTCATCTAAATTAGAAAATTAACCAATATTTTTTTTACTATGATAGTTTTTACCTAAAATTCCTTAATTGAGAGATCTTTCTTCTTCCAAAAGCCTCTCTTAAATATTATATTCTTTTTATAATGCTTCGAACTTATTATGAAGCTAATCTTTAGTCTTTTCTGTCCTTTCAAGTTCATCTTTTAGGTCATCAATTGTCGTTTTGCATCTAAGTAGCAGAACTTCTCTAGATTCCTCACTATTAAAGTAATTAAACATTAGAATTTAAAATCAAATTCATAAAATTTACTTGGTTTATAAAGAAGCTTGATAAGTTGAATTATTATGAAAATTATTATATGAAGAATTCCTATTCATTTTCGATAGCTATTTAACTAAATTGCTCTATATATTTATGGGATAAAACAACAAAAGCTAGCTAGTAGATATTTCAAATTGATAATTTGCAGAAAATAAATAGTAAAAATTTTGTTCAAATTTTATGATTTTTAAAATATGCTTAAGTTTTTGGAATTCAAAAACATAAAATAATCCAACCTTCAAATAATTAAAAAATTTTGAAATGAAAAAAGTTAAATTATCAAACAGAAAATAATAACCAATAATAAATTAATCAAAGTATTTGAAATTATTTGATTAATTCATTGATAAAAAAACTATTTAATTTAATAATTCCATTTATTGCAAACAAAGATAAATTTAATTAAAATAAATAAAATAGTTAAAATATATTTTTCTTCAAAACAAAAAAAATTTTTTTTTCTCTTAAAATCAAGATTTATTTAATATGTTTTAATCTAAGAATTTTTGGACTAAATTAAATTATATCTTAAAATAATTAGATATAACAATAGATTTAGCTTAATTAATTAATTAATTAAATAAATAAATAAACTAAATATTTTTTTAGAATTAAAATAAATGAATAAAAAAAAAAATATTGTTTTAAATAGATTTTAAACATCAAACACAACCAGTGGATACATATTTATATGCTGCTTTATCTTTGAGATTTTCATTAATGATAATTTCAATAAAGTTAGAATTTAAATATACTTGATGGTTCTAATCTTTGCTTTTAAATAAGCCAACTACATCTACTTATTGAGTTTAGTTTTTAGGAAATGTAAAAGAATTTTACTGAAAGCTTGATACCTTATCTACAAATTGTTAAGAAATTATTAGCAGAGACTCTTTCAAAAACTTTTTTTAAATGGAGTCATATCCTACCTCTTATTATTTATAAATATTAGTAAAAGGGTATATTTCTTCTAAATATATTGAGTGTTTATCTTAAACAGAAAAATCAGCTGTAAACATTTCGAAAACTCTCGAATCTTCAAAGAGTTTAGATTTCACTGATAATATAGAGTAAGTGATAGCTTTAAATATTTTTTTTGCTAATATTTCTTGATTCAAAGATTTAAATGTGCTAAAAAAATCTGATTATTTAATTCTTTTATTACATTTTGTTCCGAATTTACATTTCATAAAGATAAATTCATTGTTTTGGCAATAAACAATTAGAGGTTTAGTAGATGAAATTAAAAAATTTACTCTCACAACAAATATTTAATGAGATTGCTCCATAATTTCTTATTAATTTTTTTATCTATTTATTTTCTAACTTTCAAATAGTATCTCTTCAACCAACAGTGGTTAATCTATTAAATGATTGTTTTATTCCCAAAATGAA